TGTAATCAATTTAGATCATTAGTGACTACAGAGTGAGATAAAAGATAACTTATAAAGGACCAAAAAAGTGAAATGTGACTTGCCTCTTTGACATGGACAACATGTTTTCCTCTGCAGACGAATAAGCGGGTAATATGTTCTTCGGCTTCCACATGTTTGAATCCTGATGCTACTCCACCTTCTTGAGGAATGATACATGGCTTAAAATAAGACAAGAATTTCTCGGTTTCGTTGCCTTGAACTTCCCTATACTGAACTGCACGACCTCCAAGAGCAGCATCTAATTCAACTGTCTTAACTGCAGCAGTCCCAGCTTCATCCTAGTTTTTAAAATAAAATTAGTACCTTCTCTCAAACTATTCCTGTCACTCTACAAAAGCAAGGATAGGGAATATTAACAGGGGTTTACCTGAGAGGTATCTTTACCAAGCCAGTAATGGATATCATGGCGCAATGCACCAGTTTTTAAAGCCGTTGTCTGGTCACAGAAGATCAATTGCCAGAAATAAATTATTTTTAACCGAGACTCGATGTAGAAAACCGGCGTAAACTGGAAAAAAGGAAGCAAAAAAGAAGTTGTAACTAGGCCATACCTTCAATATTATGTAAGAATCACCGGTGAAAAACTTCCCGATGGAAGATTTTGGAACTGGGGTAGGGAGGAAATTCTCTATACGCCATACCTCAATACCTCTAACTTATTGTCAAGGAAAATATAATGTAGATCATTCAAAATAGAAATGTAAAACGTAGCATCTTTCCTATAGGAGTCTTTAAACAATATAAGAAAAAACAAATTTGAAGGATACGCTTTCTGTCCAGCCCCTTGGAAAGCTGGATCTAAATCTCTCATGGAAACAGACATATTTAAGCAGTCTTTACCACTTTCTCCAACTTATGAACGCCGCAACGATAGAGAAGACTAATAATAACCTATGAGACAATAGCAAATAAGAGTAAAATTTCAAGAATCAACAAATGCAAAACCAATTCTATCAAAAACCAATCAAAGAACACATTTAATTGCAGACAAGGCAATACAAGCAATGGAAAAAAAAGGTTCTTGCATTGCATATGGTTCCAATCAAACACAAGGAAACCATCAATTAATGAGAAGCCCATGATTTGGATTTAGCTGATGAACAGAAAGAGAAACCAGAAAACAATAAGAAAGAACAAAAAACCAAAGTTTTCTCAACTATACAACTGAGAATCCACAAGGGTCAACATCATTCATCTCTCAAGTCAATCACTGTCAAAATGCATAGGGGTTTAGGTAAAGCAGCAAAAAACTCTGAAATTGATGTAACATTGGAAGTAGGGGTTATGCAGAAATATTCAATTCCCCAAGACAAACAAAACCAAATTAGATGAAACCAAAGCAAAACTCAGAGATTCGAGAAAAAGAAAAAGGAAGAACATTTCCTATTGAACATCATCATCATACTCACCAAACCCAACATTTTGAATAAACAACATCACAAAACCCAAGATAAATTATAAAAGCTCAAGGATTGATGATGCTCTCTAACAAATCTACCTCACTAATTAAAAACTAAACCTTTGGCTTAACCAATCGGATCAACGCAAGTCTTAGAACTAATCTAAACAACCCAGAAACTGAAAAAAAAAATCTCAAGAGAATACAAAACTCGATCAAATACGTTATACTAATTTACCTTATTCAGCTCCAAACCCAGATCCAATCTGATTACAAAATTTGCAACAAAAAAAAAATACAAAAATCTGAGGGAGACGAAGCAAAAAAAAAAAAGATGAACAACAGAAGCAGAAGAGGAAGAAGAAGAAAAGTGAAAGAAAGAGAGAGAGAGAGAGAGAGAGAGAGAGAGAGAGAATTGAATTGAAAGCTTTATTTAGAGAGAGAAGATGATAAACAAATTGAAAGTCTTTAGAGAGAGAGAGAAAAGGTTGGGAGGGAATGATGATGAGAAGACAGAGGCGTGCTTATCACTAAGAGAGAAGCAGAGAACCCATCAGCTGTAAAATTCTTCATTCTTCATTTTACAAAAACCCCATATTATCAAATTCAACTCTCTACACACATACACACACACACACACACACACAAAAATTAGACCTTTGGTTTTGGATGATAAAAAAATAAAAATCGAAACTTTTTTTTACGGTTTCTTTGTTTGGTGATTTTATGTCGTTACCACTTCTGACCATTATTAAAAAAAAAAAACAGTGATGCTAATGGGAAAGATTTTGGCGCAAACATTACAAAGAAAAAAATCTAATTTTATTTAAGTTATTGATCCATTTAATTAATGAGTTGACTGCATATCACCTCAGGTTAATAACAACAAATTACAGTAAAATTCAGTTTCTTCTTTTGTAATGAAGGTAATAAAAATCTCTTTTTTAAAGATATGTATTTAACTTCACAATGAATTTGGTCACATCTACAGGTAAGCAAATTGGTTATTTCTGTATAATCAAAATTTTTTCCTAATGCCGTTACTAATTACGGAGTCCTAACAATATAATATATTTAAGGAAGAAGAAGAAGAAAAAAAAAATGTTTATACAAAAAAAAAAAAAGAAGAAGAACAAACAAAAGGTACTATTACCTTTAACTTTAAGGCTGTTTTCTCTTACTTTTGTAGCCTTCTCTCTCTGTCTTTCCAGTCTTTGGTTTAACAAATAGTTTCAAGCTTTTTGATGATTGATTAGTAATGGGTTAGACCAAAAAAAAAAAAAAGTTTAGCAATGGGTTTGGAGGAAGAAATTCAAAGTCTTTAGGTTGATTAAATAGCTTTCTTAGGTGATTAATTTAGACCAATCTTTGTTGACAGAACAAAATTGACCACATTTCTGATCATTTCATTTAATTAAACAATCTTTCATAAGTACTATATTATTATTATTGCTTAATTGTATCTAAATATGAGTTGTACTTTGGGATTTCTTAATATCTTTTTCTATCTTAAAATATGTTTCCTTTCTTTCATAAAGCTTATTTTTTAAAAAATTATCATATATATGAAGAAACATTTATCAGTTAACTTCTTTGTATTCATTTTACTTTAAGTATTTATGTGAATTAAACTTTGCTTGATTTACTTTAATTGTTTAATTTCTCAAGATTAATACAAATATCTTTTATTTGACATTTGACATTAATCTATGGAGTAAATAAAAGTATCATCGTGGCAAATGTCTAAAGGTCACCGGTTTGAGTAACGCTTGTGATGAGAGACCTGAAAGGATGTATGGGTTTCGGCCCAAAACCTCTTAATTATTTAAAAAAATATATCATAAAACAAACTTTGGTCAGCGTATTATAAGATTTGTTTATTTTTATTTTTTTGGACAAACAGAAAATTAAATCCTTGAAATCATGGGTTAAAGAAAAAACAAGACTTATGAATTTAGTATAGGATTACTGTTTTCTTTTTTTTTTGGAAAAATGTAACAACAGAAAAACAAAGAGATAGAAAGATCGAACACGTACAGGAATATTCCCTTTTCAGAAATTAGGACTACTTTTTGTAATAGATTTTATGTGTTTGGCATAGTTTCGTACTTTTGTTAAATACAAATTTTATCTGCTACTTGCATTACTTGTTCTCAAATCGTGACTCTACGTGCATTACTTGTGATCGTGTCAAATTAAAGACAACTTCATAAGTTAATAAATTTAGTTTTTCCTATAACATTACAGGTAAAGTAAACAAAAACTTCAGAAATTAAAGAGATGATTAGTTTAAACACTAAAGCAAATTATAGAATGACGACGATCGTCTTTTTAGTTTCGTGATGTGATGAATTTCTTTGACTACAAAGGTAAATGATATCCACGTACGTCCACAGACCACAGCTAATACATACAGAGATAATTATAACATCTAGCATAACCTTTCGTTAAAAAAATAACATCACCCTGACCTTTGCATCATTTGGCTAGTAGCACAAGGACCAAAATGAACATAATATATCATTTTATGGGAGTGTTAATTTCCCAATTATAATATGTTGTTTCCCACCTTGTTCATGTGCGTACGTGCGTGTATTATAAGAAATCACAGTATATGAATGTGATCAATGATTGTGGTGTTAGTTTAGGGTTGGGACACTGATCATAATGAACTTTTACCGTCGCAAAATAAACTTTATACAATCAATATTTTCTGTTCTCTTATAGTATCGTTTAGTTTTCCATTTATATCACACAAAATCACCACCAATAAGATTTATTACGAAGGCTGGAGATAAACGAGTGTGTTCTTTTTGGGGCAAGAGAATAAATTATTCTGTTTTCTTTTAAGTTTCAAGAAATGTATACATCAAACTAAATTTTTGCTATTTCAGAATAAAAATATATGTGACAAATATCAAAAACCGACCAAAGTATAAAGTACACGCTTTCGGCTCCTATATTATTTTATATGATGATGTTGATTCGACTAGAAGAAGGACAATGACTTGGTCAATCCTTTTATTCACAACGACTACTGTATTGTAGCCGCCGGCACCGTGGAAACTGATGGTCGGAGCCGCCTTGAATCGTCGGAGATACTACTAATACTATATATGAAATATCTTTAAATACACTATATATTTATTATAAGTTCATAGCAAAGAATGTGATGGTTTAGTGGCAGACAAGAATCAATATATTCTATGGTTTAGCGTAAATCATGTCTTAATTATCGATTTACATATTCTCTCAAACATGAGATAAATTATTCTACCAAAAAAAACAAACAAAAAAAAAACAAACAAGAGATCAATTATCTTCTCTACTTGACCATAACGGCATAACCATTACCATCTTTAACACGAAGACAACACAAAGACAACACAAAGGCAAGAGTCTACCAAACAATTCTTTGTACTTAAAAAGTCTTAATCAATTATTGCGCATATTAAATTCTAAAATATTTAATTTTTTTTTTTCTTATTTGCTTTTAATGTGCAGTCTAATTTTTAATTGAAGACAGATTATTATAATTTTCTTAAATATCTAAGAACAGTTTTGTGAATCAAAATCATTATCATATTAGGAAGAAAAAAACACATGGTTTGGTCTCTAGACTCAAGAGAATGCCCAACTTTACAACTTCAACAAGAGAGCAAATCCCATCATCCCGGAAAAGGACCCTACCTCCCAACATGAAATACAGAAAACTAATTGTGATTTTTCTAAACTTTTCCTTGGTACTTGAAATTCAACTTGTAGTCTTGTTGCAGAGTTGCTAGAGAGTTTCTACAAGGACCTTCTGCAGAAGAACAAAGAAAGACGAGAGACAAACAAATTATGTCCATAACCGATTCTAGCATTACAACATAAATCATGTGACAACAAGTAGAATAGAAAAGGTCTTTACCACCAAATACTGTATGGAGATATTGAAGATCGTTAGGTGAGCAAGAGTCTATGAGAGCATACACACCAGGTCTTAAAGCTTCATCTACCTCCCTGCAAAAGTTGTAAAATCAATTAACTCTTATCTACTTATTCTGGTGACATCCTTAAAACTTGAGGACAAACACCATTAAGCCATGTTTGGAGTGTATATGTAAGAAGAATAAAAGGGAGAAGACTGTTACCTTTTGAGACCCGTCTTAATAGGTCCATAACCGGAAGATATCCATATGTAACTTGACAAGAACTTGAAACAATGCTGTCCAAAGACCTCCTTCTGTTGTCTTAGCTGCAATCCAGTTGTTTTTAAAGCAAAAATGAGACACATAATAGTAGAATCATTAAGACATCCGGACTTAATTGCAATTTCCGTCAAAACAAAATATCTAAACTCAGTTGACAGCCTCTTAGTCCAACAGATTGTTAAAAACTGAAATAGGTTTCCCTTTTATAAACCCAAAAGGAAGAAATGGTAGATGCAGTGACGTACCTCTTCATAGATCCTCCGGAGGAAACAAGCACATCTAATTCCCTCTTTCACTTCCCATGAAACACGATTACCCACTTTATTCCCTGCTGTCTCCAGACAATTAAGAAGCGCAGAAACAGATTCTTGGAGTGTAGCAATGGACCCCTCAGTTTCACTAGATGTTGACATGTCACAGCAAGGACGACATCATATCAAGTTCTAATATCGTAAACTTTAACAGGACTCTGTGAGTAAGTCAAACAAAATTCTAGTTACCTCTTATGATGCTTAACCGCTGTATATAATAGTCGGCAGCATGCAGCATACAGGCTCATCGAGAATGTCTGGTCTACTTGAAGATCTTTTGAGCCTCCTAACAGATTTTGTTGCTGATCATCCTGGCATAACAAATTTCCATCTATAACCAAGAATCCCACCCTTGGTATCTGAAGGTAATCTCTAAAAATTGCTCCAGGAATATGTATGGATTGGCTTATGTGCGATGAATCCATTTGAAACAAAGCGTGTTTCCCTGCTATTCTTATCAAGACTTCCACACACATGAGAATGACTGGCCCAGCATCTGGAGAACTGGAACCAACAACTGTATTTGTGAAGAAAATAAATGGACTCTGCATGTGAGCCATGATACCAAACACTGCAGATATTAAGCCTTGAATGTGCCTTTTAACCACATTCAGACGTTTGCGACCTACAAAACATAAACTATTCAGTAAATAGACAATAATGATACCTTAAGCAAATATATCAAAATTTTGGTTCACAATGTGTTTGAATCACACTACACGTACATCCTAACGCAAAACATGGCAGCTAAATTCGATTTATTACTATAAGTTCATTATTACAACTATTAACATCAAGTTTACTAAGATTGCTTTCAGAAAACAAATATTTACCTGTGGCATGTTCCAGAATTAGATCCAGACAGTCAAGACCAGCAGCAGCGGTTTCAGGGATTCTGCCTCCATCTCTGTTTCCAGTCTGTATGCAATAGATAGCTGGGCACACTTCCCATACTCCAACCAGTGATCTTTCTATAGCCTGTACTACAGATAATAAGTGTAACTCTGAGGAACTATGTATAAACACTTTAAATGACATCCTAAGCCTCTGTTTTAATTCATCCAACCAATGCAATCGGTGAGACTGATTTTTTTCTAATAGCACTTGCTTAGCATGGATTGCATTAGTGCCAAATCCTGTCTCGTGAGATTCCAAGGTGGCCTCTTTTCCTTGTAGTGATATGCATTTCCCAATCACCTTCAAATGCAACTCAATCAACTTTGAATATAGATCTCTGTTTAATGAAGGGTTGGATAAACAGAACTGGCTCCCTAACTCTTCAAGAACTTTCACTGCCCCATCCAACCAAATAAATGAGAATTCGAACGGTACCTCGCTCATGTCTGCGAATTCAGATAGTAGATCATTTGAAATGTTCGTGAGAACAGAGACAAATGTAGGTGAGAAGGTAATGCCATCAATCTGCAGATTTAGCCGTAGGATAGCAGCAGAAGCAATTAACAGATGCCTGAGTGCCAATACTTTTTCCGAGGTATCACCCTTCATCATGCTCTCAATAATTTCCTTTTTCACATCACTAGTGTCTACAACATCACCACACATAAGATCAATTGAACCCTCAGTCCCATCAAACAATCTGGTCCAGTTGATATTGGTTTGGATTTCCCGCTGCCGATCACCACTAAAAAACAGACCCTGTGCGAAAACCTCAAAAAAATTGCTAAGCACATGGATAATGCAGGAAAGCTTCGAGAATTGTTCTGATTTCCATTTCAGTTTTGTGTTTTGATGATTTTTATGCATATCTCTTTGACTCACTGCAGATGCTAATCCCCACAACAATCCACTAAAACAAGCAAATATAGGTGCTAACTTGTTCAGTATCAGATTCTCACATTCAAAGGCTGTTTTCTCATCCCTGAAGGTAACAATTAAAGCATTTAGTAAAGTTTCGGCCTGTTCTGTCAAGCTCTCAAATATAAGGTCCACTTGTCCAGTTCCCTCAGAAAGTTCGGATGAAATGAGTTGTCCATCAGACAATGGTAGTGCCTTGCTGAATTGATTTTTACTTACAGTTTGAAACATATATGATGTGTGATCCATCAAAGAAAAGACGGTGTCCCTTGCTTTCCCTGTAAAATCATTCCTGATATTCATTTGGCAAGTAACCGCAGCTTGTGCTGATTTGAAAAGCCAAGAAGCCAACAACAAACTATCAGATAAAGGTAACTTGGAAGCTCCTAGCACCTTGTCGCACGAAACTATAAGAATACTTTTCAAAGTTTTTCGGCAAGTGATGAACAGGCTGAAAAGGTTTTGCATATCACCCGTAGACAGCTTGTTCAAACATCTCAACATGCTAAAAACGATTAACCTACAAGATTCACGAAAGTAAAATTTGTCAAAATGTTTGCCAATGAAACTTAGGGTAACCAACACGCCTTACTGGAGCTAATGTACAGAAAAAGCATATGCAATATGCAAATAGTTACCTTTCAAGGTCGAGAACATAACTTGCATAAAGTTGAAATGATTTCTTATTCATATACTCCTTGGGAATCCCACATAAAAGATTTAGCAAATTTTTACAAGCTGTGAACTTCCGATTGTCCAGCTGTGATACATGTGCTTCTAAAAAGGCTTCTGATTGAAGCTTCCCAGGTGACTTGGCAATTGAATTTTCAAGCAAGACTAACACCTCCGACCAATCAGGCAGTGAGTCAAAGTTAGCTTCTTCAGTAAAATCCATGAAAAAGTTTTCTGCTGTCATTTTCAGTACATGAGAAAAACTCAGCGCCAAATATCTGCGAACAAACTAGTTGAAAAAATTCAAATAAAAATCTGGAATAAGCACTTAAAAAAACAAGTAGATATGGAATTGGATAATTTTGCACCAAAAAAAAAGATGACTTACTTCATGCTCATACAGCACTGAATCAAAAAGAAGTCCTAACGAGAACTGTTCCAACCCTATTTTCTTCTTTTGAGAGCCCTTGTCTACATCATTCTCCCAGCCAGGAATAGACATACCCACTCCGTTCAATATAAAAGGAACAGAACAACTTATCAGCTGAGACAGAAAATTCTTCAATTTTTTTTTTCCTGCATGGGCACACCAAAGATCAATATGCTGGCTAAGGACCCACAAACGTAAAGCAGGCAAACACTTCCTGTTGATCCCAGAAACCCTGAGAACCCACTGATCAGTATCTTCTGTCATTTCAAAAGTTCCAACATCAGCAAATCCTGATATGATGTTGTCGCCCAAAAGGAAATCAGTAAGCTCTTCTCCTTCACGCTTAAGAACTGCTACATGCTTAAGCATTGTACCATGTACCTGATTATCACTTATCTGTGACACATAATCAAGAGATTTGATGTGCCTGTTCAAATCAACAAGTCTCTGAAGAGTGACTCTATACAATATATATATCAGCAAGCAGCAATCTGCACTGTCATCCTTAAGGTAAATAGCTGAAATGTGTTTAATAATGTCGACAATGGAAGCAGAGGGTTGGGAGATCCATGAAAAATAGCCTTCATAATTCCAACTTTTCTCTTTTATCCAATCCCTTCCACAACAAGCTGCAATAGAGTCGCCCTTAGTACCAGCCATATCTTTTTGTTTTTTGGGAGGCATACGACTAATCACCTGCCTATATAAGCTTCTGGAAGACATGTAAATACGCAAGACAAAGATAATAAACAAGCGCACAGACTTTCTATAGGTAGCTCTCTTCTTTACAGTCATTATAATGTCTAAACGCATTTCGGTGACAGCAGAAAAGAAATTTTCAATGCAATCTGAGTCTGAAGAAACCAGATGGGTTAAGCAAGGACTGATGAGGTCTAACAGATCGTTCATGGACTGGCCAACAAGGCTACTATTACCTGTTGTAATAGTTAGTGAGTCGAGAATAAGTGAATAAATATCAGACAAAGATCCGCCCAAGAATGCTGCCACCGGTCCATCTTGTTCTCCAGCACTTGGTGAGCAACAAACTTTTTTTATCCACTTCATGGTTTCTGATAAATCTGTTGCCAAACTCGTTATACAACCACTTGCTTGGCCTTCTGGTATTACTTTAATAGCCCTATGTATAGCAAGTCTTAACTCTTGAGATGATAAGAGCTTTTCCACTGATTTTTCACTTTTTCCTAAAGGGAAAGGAAACACAGTTGATAGTGGAAGCTCTCCGGTGTCAACCATCTCATCACTATCACCATCAGCAGGTGTAACAACAGGTATCACAAGCCTCACAGCTTTGCACAGAGATACTACAACAACACTTACCTACATCATCAGGGAAACATTAGCAGTATTCAGAAGGAAAGTAACAACATGACAGATACTAGCAAGGCAGAAAACTCAACAACTTAAAAGGGATAAAATTTTGACAAACCTGGCGGAGATCACTATATAAATTTATCAGCTGGCATCCAAGACCAAGTAACAATGAAGTCAAAGGGCAGTCGTCTTCTGAATTCTCTGGTGACAAACTACTAAACTCCAGGAAAGAGAGAATAATTGGCCACAAAGTTACTAAATCATTTTCAATGACTTTGTACTCAATTTGTAACAGGTAGCCTATTGCAGTTACTAGCTCCTTGGCTAACAAAATATGCATCTCTGACGCATCATCATATGGATAATGATTTTTTAATTGGGAAGCAACTGAAACTATTGCTTCAAAGATCGTCTTGAGAAAAACAAAGCAAGCTCCTCCAGATGTATCCTCTGTCTTCACATATATTCGCTCTTGAGCAAAGTGGAACAACAAACTATTTGCTGTCTTAAAAACACAACAGAAATCAGTCAATGGAGGAGCCATTTCAGAGCAAGATTGTTTATATCCATCGATCTTGAGTAATATAGGTTCCATAAGATGCAGGAAGAAATTAAAAAGTGATTTTCGTGTCTCTGGGCGGAGGGAACTTTGACTATTTGCAGAAGACTCATTGTCATTTGTAGCTGTGTCTTGCAGCTTCAATGGCCTTTCTGCTTTCCCGGCAATTGAGGCCTTTTTCGTCATGCCTTCTTGCAATGGATTTGAATCTCTTTGTTGTTTCATCACTCTGTTAATAAACAACCTAAACAATGACCCCATACAGCTCAGCTCCAACTCCTCCTTCATTAACAACATGTTCTTGAACTTGGTAAAAAAGTGCCGGTGATAGCTCTTCACAATAGTTTTGTTCTCTTTAGGTCCTGGTAAATACTTTTCAGCTCCGCCCAAGTCTAAGAAGCCATCAAGATGAGATGAATGGAACAAAGCCAGAGATAATATTTTTTCAATCAACTTCAGCAAAGTTATTTTCAAATCCTTGTTTTTGTCCTCGCTGAGGTTCAATAGACCCAACACATCCAAGAATGGCGCAAAAAGCTTATCCAGAAAATCACGAAACTCGTTCTTCTTAGTTAAATGGGTCATTAAGAACTCAGAGAATGGCTCAAGAACGAAACAAGAAATTTGAAGAACATATCTATCAGCAAGACTATCGTTCATATTCTCTGCAAGAACTTTACATGCGAGCTTCAGAACTGGTTCAACAGTTGAAAACCACCAGTCTGAACTGCCACTGGACATGCCCCTTTCCGATGAAAATAACAAGCCTAGACAATCAACCACAGAGCTGTAAACTCCAAAACCTTGACCATTGCGGAAATCGACCTCCGAAGACATAGACATGTTCAGTCCAGATAAAACATTTTCCGTGATAAACCCAACAGCCTTTAGCAGGTTTCTTGACAAATTCAGAGAGACGCCCAAGATTGATGACTGCTTCAAGCAGAACTTGAGGATCTCCCAACACCTGAAATCCAAACATGGTTCGGAATCTAAATCACCCTCAACTTTAAGATTCTTTTTTGTAGAAATCAACAGTGATTGGATCCAGTCACTGACAAAAATAATCAGCCGCGATAGCTTAACCACTTCACATTCATCATCCTCGTCAGCCCCATCTTTGCATCCATAACCTTTAACAAAACTGAAAGCCAATTCCACCTTCCTGCAAGTCATATTCTCTTAATTATTCAAAAGATACCACATTTGCTTTATCTCCCAATTCAATTAGAAAACACAAAACACAAAAACTAAGTAAAATTAGAACAACAAACATATCAGCTAAAACTATCACAAATGTGATACAGAGTACTAAAAATTTCGGTACTTTTTTGCATATATTCTCCAAAGTCACAAACTTTAATGCAACAAAGTAGTAACATGGTCAAGTAAAGCAAAGAAGCAACAATAAAAACTTACATTTTGACGCCCAAATCTCTGTTCTGCAACGAAGTTATAAGCCCAAGGTTCTTCCATGGACTCTCTTCAGCAGTAACGCCCGCAAGTGTTTCCTTTAGGTTACACGGTTTGATTTCTACAACCTCCACCGGAGAATCATCAATTTGAAGGGTTTCAGGGTCCTTCTTCTTCTTCGCGCGATTGAGTTTATTGGGAGTGGTACGCTTCCTTTTCATCTTCTAAGCTCCGTCTAGTGAACTGACTTAGAGGAGAAGAAGAGTGGTTTTGATTATTAAGGCGGCAATCAAAGGAGACACCTTAAACCCTACCGGTGAGGCTCAGACAAATCGACGGCGACGGATACTCATTAATTCATTGGGCTTGGATCAATAAACCTTGATTTCGGTTAATTTCGACAACGTTATCAACGATCGACATAACCGAAAAACCAAACCAACAAAATTATTAGAAATCTCAAGACTCATTAAAATCTTTGAAAAAATTCGTAGTTTTAATTTATTGATTCGCCCTACTTTCCAAAAATATTTGTCTTGTTAATATATGAAACTTCATAATAAACTTAATTAATTTTCACATTTTTATGTTTAGAAAAAATATGTGATCATCCGAACTATAACATACCGATATAATGGACTAGAAACCATAATACAGTTGAGCAAATTAGACCATCTTTATTGGAGGGTCCTTAGGGATAAGATTTATCAAAGAGAGTATATTATATAAAATATTTTTTTGATAAATTTTACCCCTAAGAACCTTCTAATGAGGATGTCCTTAGAGTTAAAATAATTTTCTGATGAGGTAAAAATAAGTTTGTTTCAAAAAAAAAAAAAAAAAATAGAGTTAAAATAGTTTTCTGATGAGGGATCAAACTGAAGAAATAACGAGTTTACGCCATATCTTGTTTGTTTATTTGTTTTTCTAATATTTCAGTATTTCCTTGAAATACTTTCTTAAAAATAATAAAATATACAATATTTATTAATTTTAACCAAAGATAACTAATGGGTGTGATTCATTTTCTAAAGTAAACTAAAATTTTGTGTTTTCAATAGTCAACTCTAATGTCATAACAAAAAAAATATTTAAACATGATAAAATTGTGATCAACTTGAATCTAATTTAGTAGGGCGTTTAGATAATTAAAATTGTAAGACTTTTCGTAAGAAACAATTAATCATAATATAACATTTGACCCCCAAAAAAGGGAACAAATCTCTTATTACAGTGACATCTATAAAGTAAGGAGAATGTGTGTTATAAAATGGTTGAGTGTTAAAATTGGAGAATGGTTAATCATATCATCGTTTTGGGCCACTCACATTAATCTATCATCGATCTGGTCCATCTCTAAACATAAAGAGAACTAGCTAGTTACATCATCACTGAGCCAACATCGACAATGAGAAAGTCGTCTATCAAAGTTTATATATTAGTTACAAGTTGACACGAAAAAGAGACGAATGGCCAACTCATTCAAATCAGAAGAACTGTTCTAATTATTTTACCGAACATACATAAACGAGTGATTTTATATTTAATTTGCATATAGTCAAATAAATTAACATATGTTGAGTATACGGCATAACTTTCTTGATACGGCATTTGTAACCCTTTATGATAATTAACCAGTTAATTATAACTCAACATTTCATTTTCTGTTATATCTTACACGATCACGATACTCTACAATTAATGTATTGCAAATAAAAATTCATATCATAGTAAAGTCTTATTATTATGTACTTGAATTAAGAGAAGAGATGTGAGAAAAGTTACAAACTTGACTTTTAACCCCAAGTATTTATTAACTAATTCACTAATTAAAATCTCTTTTTGGGAGTGAAAGATATAAACCGTAAAAGATTAGTGGATCAATTTAAAAGTATATATAGTTGAACGGGTATATGTATGGCTATATTTCATTTGCATTTGGTGGAATCTGGCATATCTTAACCAAACTTTCTGCATGGGCTAGTTGTGCATTTGTTAGTTTGAGAGATTTTGTCTAAGCACTTTTTCGTGAAGAAAATAATTTGTATTTATTTGAGTTCATTTGTTTAATTTTCTAAATGTTGTTTCATTTTTTAATATAAAATTGGACGATATGGATCCAGTGGTTGGTCAAATAATATTAGATCTACGATAGTCTTATTATTGTTAGTAAGCTACTAAGCTTTTTCTTTTAAAAGGTTCTCCTCTATACAAGTTGAGACGTATGTCATACAATGCCGTTTGTTGCAGATTACGTATATTGCGTTTTGAACAAACATTTTAAAATTTATTACTATTTATGTAAAGCTTGCTGAAACTATTCATATTAATTGTATACGTTTTTCGTTAAAAACATATTGGATATAATAAACAGTAATTTAACAGGATGCTCAACTTTATATGTATAGTAAATAGATGTATCACTGCTAATGCTAGGTAAAAGAATTAGATCAATCTCAATCCATGGAAAGAATACGAAAATAAATGATGAACACGTACGTCCACCTCATATATAAAGATAATAATTAAAAAAAGGAAGCCTCTTAATTCATGCAAAGAAAAATATATATATATAAATTTCCAAGTCTCCCTTAATTCACTCAGCCTCGTGCTATATATAGTCGCATAATTGTCTAACTATCGAAGCAATTCATCTAACTAACCAATCACAGTTAGCAAATCTCCTCCATATATATAGCCAACCTTTTCTTTTTCTCTCACCGCTCTCCTCATTTTTCGTATAATCCGATTTGCGAAACATGGTCGAGGGAGAGTCCAAGGCACTGTGGTTCATAGTGGCGACAGTGTTTGCAGCCGCAGTGGTCGCACCAGCGGCGCATGGACAGCAAGTGCCGTGTTACTTCGTGTTTGGAGACTCTGTCTTCGACAACGGTAACAACAATGCCTTGAACACCATGGCTAAGGTCAACTATCTACCTTATGGTATCGATTTCCCCCAAGGTCCTACCGGGCGGTTTAGCAACGGTCGGAATATCCCTGACGTTATCGGTTAGTTTTATAACCGGGTTTCTTGATTCGTTACGCTAGATAAATCCTTCTTTTTTTCCTATTTACATTATTTGATTATTAACTAACTACACTATGTCATCATATACCAGACATGACATGGTTCCTGATCAGAAAATACTGTATACCCATAACTTATAAAGATATCTTTTCGTATTATTAAAATATTGTATATGAACTTTAGGTATACATATATATTCCTTGACCAGGAAAATCAAAGCTATAAGATTAATATTTTAAGCGTTCTGTCTCATCATTTATTTTTGTTACAGTATTAACAAAGTTGGACTATATATTTTCATTTTAGCTGAACTAGTGGGTTTCATTAATTACATTCCACCGTTCGCCGGAGCATCACCGGCACAAGCTAACATGGGACTCAACTATGCTTCCGGTGCCGGTGGTATCCGCCGAGACACCAGCGAAAACATGGTAACTAACTTTATCCCATCATCTTATATATAACTATAAATCTATAATTAACCAAAACCATATCTTGAACTATATAAATAGGGTGAGAGGATCAGTTTGGGTGAGCAAGTAGACAACCACCAGTCGGCGATCAGTAGAGCGGCGGTGCCACGAAGTCGGTTACAGCAATGTCTATACACGATCAGCATCGGAAGCAACGATTACCTCAACAACTACTTCTTGTCGCCTCCTACTCTTGCTCGTCGCCTATATAATCCTGAACAGTTCGCTCAATCTCTCATAGGCCGCTACCGTATCTATTTGCTGGTAAGTACATTGTATAAAGACATGAAAAGCAAACGTATCGATCCTAATTATGTTATATATATTTGGATAATTATATGGCATGCATGCATTCTCATTATATATATTCTTGTAATTTTTTATTGCATAACAACTAACACATATATCAACTAGAGCTTATTGATATAGTTTATGTATTAATATGTTAATGTATGTATATATGTCTACTAATTATGTAACTTGTTAAAAATTAACTCCATTTCCAATGATGTGGGAGTAGGAAATTCTAATATTAATAAGTTTAATTATGTACGTGTGTAGCAATTGTACGTACTAGGAGCGAGGAATGTAGCCTTGTTCAGCATCGGTAAGATAGGATGTACGCCACGTGTAGTTGCTACCCTCGGTGGCGGCACAGGCTGCGCAGAAGAAGTGAACCAAGCAGTGATTCTCTTCAACACTAAACTCAAAGCCCTAGTCACAGAATTCAACAACAAACCTGGAGCTAAGTTCACTTATGTTGATTTCTTCTCTGGAAATGCTCAAGACTTCGCTGCCTTCGGTACGTAATTCTATACTTGGAAGAATATATGATGAAGAAACGCTTTTAATTTCATTTTTTTTTTCTTTTCCGACACTAATATTATATTTTACCAAGAAGCTGTAATCAAGATCATTCATATTTGAAATTGTGTAGGGGTTACGGTTTTTGATAGGAGTTGTTGTACGGTTGATCCGGGGGAAGAACTTTGTGCGGCGAACAAACCGATTTGTCCGAACAGAAACGCATTCATATTCTGGGATAACGTGCATACGACGGAACTTATTAATGTAGTGGTGGCTAACGGAGCGTATAACGGACCCATAGCTACACCTTATACCATATCCCAGCTTGTATGAATTGAAAAATTAGGGCTTTAATTAGCCTAATTTACTGTAAACTTCGTCTAGATGGAAATTAACCATCTATCATACCCGCATAATAATATCATACAGACTAAATAATGAATAAATAAAGGTTTGCAATATTGTAGTTGACCCATAATAAAAAATATATAAAAAATTGCAACAATACTAGCTTACATGCAAGTAAAACATACTATGTAAATATGTAATATATAAAGATTCAATAAATGGGCTTAAAAACGGACCTGATGATTTAGTCAGGCCTTGTGAAAGCCCAAAGAGGATGGCAAGGAAACAAAGATAAGGCCTCTCAAAAAGTCGTAAAGTTGTGTCCACTCTCCCTCCACAATCTACGATCTGAAATCGCATCGAGTTCGAGCTTACAGTGACCGACCGATCATGGAATACTGTGGACAAGACTCAAGAGTAACCGCTGCTTGGTTTTATAGCTGCTCTGTTTATCTCAATTGTTCTTTAGCTATCCATGATGGGTGGATCTAGTTCCGAGGACCTGGACCTGGAGTATGATGTGATGACTACTAAAAAGGCCTTCTCTCTGCGAATGAACCAGTAATGTAAATCTCTTTCCTTGACCTCTTTAGACCAAAAGAATTCACCTTTATGTGTTTGTTCTTCAACACTTAGTCTACATTAGACAGATTTTGATACTGATCTGACTAGAATACACGCTCTATTTAGGCAAAGTGTATCAGAATCTCTGGCATGTTCATAGAATCCGAGTAACTAGATCCCAAACTGGAACTGGAAGTCTTACTGAACTAACTCTTATGTGTCTTAATAATAATACACATATTGCCACACATCTAAATCAAAGATGCAGCTCCCAGAGCTAAACTAGCCTAGCTAAAAGCCTAACCTTCTTTAACCCAAAGGAAAAAATAAATAAATAAATGAGAAGTTGAGAATACTAAAGTTTTACATCTCAGTTTGCTCTGGCATTGTGTTCTCTGGATGGTTAATGAGCTTCGAGTGTTCATCAGCCGAGCTTATGGCAAACTCAGCTAGTGAGCTCACTGCAACTGACATTCCATGGCAGAGTACTTTAACTGCAATCTCAGCTAGTTTCTCAGCAGCCATCATCTTCTCTTCTTCCACCTTGTCAGCTTCAACAAGCTCCATGCTCTCTGGTCCTGAGTACTTCCTTGAACCATCTGTTACTGGAGATGGGTCTTCCCTAAGCTGCCTAGCATATACTGCACCCATCCCAGAGGCAAAGAAATCGAGTTTGTCTACCACCGGCTTCTCGTTCAACCCGTTGAGCAACCTTGACCATTGAATACATACTTCATAGATAGGGTGAGGACAAGAGACCAATCTGACTTTATCTGGATCAGGGTCACATCTGAAGCATCTGAGTAACCAGCCTGTTAAAGACAGTACGTAGGATCTCTGGGATGTGATCCATGCTTGGAAGCAGGTTCTCCAGTTTCTAAGCTGAGCCACGAGATTTAAAGCCGATCGAGCTAATCTTTGAGAGTTGATCTCCGGCAGTGAAGTCTGTTGTTGCTTCTTGTAACGGTTAGAAGGTGTGGTTGCAAGTAATAGCTTGGCTTCGTCTAATGTTCGCTTCTGTATCTGGTGACACTCTGCCATCACTTTCCACATCTGAGCTAATCTGTAAAATGCCTCTTATCAGTCAAAGAGAAACATATGTTGCCAGGAACCAGAAGAAAAATGTTTTGGCATACCCTTGAAGAAGCTCAAGAAGTTGCGGAAGCAGTTCTTGGTCGCGAAGAGTCTCAATCCTTTCGGATATAGACTCGATTGAGTGTATAGAGACCTTGATCTGAGTGTGTAGATCTCTGATTATAGTTCTTGTTTTATCAACAGCAGAAGAGTCGGCTCCTTTCACATCCTGATTCCTAAGCACCAAACATTTCTTCTCATATGCAATCCGTATCCGTTCTCCAGACTATCACAATATCCAAGACGGTTAACCAGAGATAGAGAGAGTGAACTGAATTTTCTGTTAACAGTCTCAGTTGTTACCTTGACTTCATCATAGAGTTTTTTCTCCCACGCGTATAGACGGTCCAATGTTGATTGATGACTACCTGAAAGCATACAAGATTCTTCTGAAAACTCACTACTGGTTTCAAATTCACTCGCCCTGGAACCTCCAGAAGAGCTGATCAAGAATCTTGATGAGGAAGACGATCTTGATGAGGCGCCCGAGCGGAACAAAGCTACTGGATTCAGCATTTTCATGGCTGCAATAGGAAGTTTCAGAACCACATCCATTTACCATTTTATATATGGTCAGAAAGAAAGAAGATTATAGTCTTACCGCTGAGGTCACTGGAAGATGTGTATTGAGCTCGACTAGCTTCCAACAGACCTGAGACTTCTTTACCAGCTGTACATATGATCCCGAACTGATCTTCAAGATCTTTAATAACTTCTCCCATGCTTGTCGGCCGTCGATTCATGTACACAGTGAAACCAGGTGTCTCTCCTTTTGCATCATCTGTGGTAACTCCAACTCCAACAACATGCCCTGTAGTTCCTCCACTTGACACTTCAATGCTTCCCCCTTCTTGAGCTCTAATGCAGTTCTTGTCCCTCGCATTCTCAGTCTCATTAACATCTTTTACTTTATCTTCTTGATCCATTCTATCCCCATTACAATCTTCTGTTGCTTTCATGTTATGATGATGCTCAAACCTTACATATTCGTCTTCTTCAAGATCTGGAATCCCTTCTTCCTCCCGAACCCGCCTCAGCCGTCTCATCTCATCATCCATACCACTTTGGTTACTATCATAACTGTATCCATAGTGATCCAATGACGAGAATGGATTCCAAAAGAAGTCCCACTGAGAGTTCTGTGGCGAAGGAGGCGGTATATTGTGGCTACCTAAACCATGACTACGCTGAGGAGAGTTCACCATGTTCATGTTCATCCCAAAGAAACTATCTGCTTCATAACTCTCAACCTGGAAAGTCTCAGGTGACATAAGAGGCCTTTCTTCAACCCGAACAGGTCTGCTTCTACTAGCCATCAAGTAATTGACATTCAAATTAGACTCAGCCTCGTTCTGAATCATTTTTGAAGGAGGAGATGATATCTCGATGAAACCGTCTGAGCTGCTCGTTCTCTTCACTGGAGTGACAAATGTGTCCAAGAAGAACTCATGTGGCTCATCTCCTTCAATATATTCACGAAGAGCGTCTGAAACATTTCTCAGAGACTGAATATAAGCAATGTGGCCAGAAGCAAAACCAGTCCGATGTTCCACAGCTTGCTTGATGAAACGTTTCCTATCTTTGCAGATCTGAACAGCTTCATCGTCATCAAACTTGGAATGAGAACATCCCATATCTCTCAAAGCTCTGCTTTCAATTCCAAAGCTCTCAAGGAACTGCAGAACTAAGAACAAGGAATCTCAGATTCTTAAATATGTAAATGTAATTAAAACGCTTGAAAACAGTTGGAAAAAATAAAAGAAGCAACATAGCATTGATTAATAAAGAGAGAGAAAGAGAGACATAACGTTTCTCCTATGTCTGTCTTTTTAGATTCTTGTTTTTAATTTGCTTAAAACTCTGATTTGTGAGTTCTTGAGAGTCGAAACTGCTCTCATTATGTGTCTTTCAATGGATTGTTATTAACAAATCAGACGCAAAGATATAAAAATGCCAAATTAATCTTGACAGCAAAAACAAAGAGCCCAAGAACTTTATGCGTTATAAAAGCCTTTGAAGGAGCAAAGATGAAGACAATGAGTAGAGAAAATCTAAAACCCTTTAAGACATTTGTTTAACCTTTTCTGCATAAAGAAAAAGTAAAATCAACGAAGTTGAGGTGTGGGGAGGGACCCAAATCAGTAAAAAAAAAAGATTAGATTTTAATTAGGAAGACAAGAGAGAGAGAGAGAGAAGACAAAACCTTTCAGGTGTTATTAGTCAAATCAGAAGAAGCTGTGGAGCGTGTGAAGGAGGAGAGGAGGAGGAGAAGAAAACAACGGTCAAAAAATATGGTGTGAGTTAGGAGTGATGAGTGAAGAAGCCTAGTGAGAGAGCAGATGAAGAAGAAGAAGACACTTTAGATATATTAAAAAAACTTAGATATTTATTATTCTATTATCGAACATGAAAAATACTGAGTTACTGTTATTTATCAACCTCGGTTGTAACGTTTATTTACGGTTTTTGCCACTGTCCTTGCATTGGCTAAAATCTCAACTCTCAATGTGATTGGTTTGTTCATATATATAGTGACAGCAGTCTCAATGAGTCAATGGTGTTTTGTTTTGTCTTATTGTTTTCACTTTTTATTTAATTATCGTATCCTCTTTTATTTTTTATTTTTTATTTTTTTCTGTCATCTCGTATCCTCTTTTATTTATTAGATGGCGTTAGGACATGCAATTTTGTTTTATTTTATTTTATGCATCTCTGTTAATTACTCTTTTTATTTTTCACAAAAGACGTTACTAGCTAGTACTACTGCTGCTACACACAACTTTTTGTTTATTTTATTACTTCATAAACCTTTGTTTTATGACGTTTACACAGAGTCACAGACATACCTTTGTTGTCATACTAAACTGGTAATCTAGTACTAATATAAAACTTTTAACAGTTCTCATCAAGTAAAAATTAGTATGACGCATTAGAAAAAAAACACTTCGCACAAATGGTTTGTTCTGACGCATTAAAAAAAGAGCTGTTACCATATATTGTTATTCATGTGCTTAAGAGATTGATTCAGTTCAATTCTCATGAAACCTTTTAGCCAAGAAGTGGTATGAATGATTGGACCTACCAACAACAATTTGGTTTGTCTCATCTTTACAAAAATTGGAAAAAGAAAGGACTAAAAACTAAAAGTTGGTATATACTCTCATAAAAAATGTTACAGAACAAGCATGGGTAGTTTTGTAACTTCATAGCATCTCCGGTTCAGAGTATGGGGTCCAACGAAGATAAATGTAATTTGGTTGTATTGGTTAGGTAGCAAAGGTCTTTCTCATGGCTACCCTTTCATATGTTACTTAATTACCGAAAGCTGCCATTTTGAATCACAAGTCATCATTTCAGGGCCTTGAGCTATTTTGGTTGAGCATATTATTACATGTTACCTTCTTCTGGCCCAATAGGCATTACATGTTACCTTCTTATGGCCCAATAGGCTCATAATAGTCTTGGGAACAATCAACAAAAGTGAAAAACCTTCTTCTCATTTAGAGGGTTCTATGTATTAACCTGTTTTCAATATCCGGTTAGTGTTAGTGAATTGAAATTTGATTTGAACCAAAATTAGGAATGTTTGTTTTTGCATGAAATTAAAGTTATAAATGTTATACTTTTAAAAAAAAAACTAAATTGTTTTAAAATATGATATTGTTTTTTTTTTTTGAACTAATTTTTTTTTTTTTTGAACTAATATGATAGTGTTTAACATAACTCAAATTCCGTCCAAAAACATTCGACCAAAAGATTTGTATGTTTTATTGAACAAAAGATTTGCTTGTATGTTTTTATGATAATAAAAGAAAACGAGCGATGGATGTGTGTATATAAGCAAGGGACCTATCACACCAAATCATTGTGTCTCTTTGACGAGTGCTTAAACCCCACAATTATACCTTTTTTTCCCACAGTGACTGTCACATTTAGCCCTTTGACTAATATGAATTGTCACCACCAATAAGAAGAATAATATATTTGTGAAAGAAACAAAATAGGGGTCCCTTTTATAAACTACATCATATTGTTAACGAAAATAAACTACATCACATATACTTATGGCTCATCTTGATCACCATTAGTCACTTGCCTTTTTACTCTCTGGTTACAATTGATTTTGGGTCTAGCTTTCGTCTTTTTATTAGGTTTTGAGTTTTGACAACGAAAATAACCTTCCGCTAGATATTTCTATTTATACATGATCTTTGGAATGTATATAATTATAGGTAAAAGCTATTATAGGGGAGAGAAGATCTAGAAATATAAGTTTAAATCCTAAAATATATATATTTTTAGTCCTAACGTGGACTATTTAAAAACTTTATAAGCTTTATAAGTGAACAGAAGAAAAAAGATACACACTGAGGTATAACAATTAATAACATTTTCAATGGTATTTCTATATTCATATTTAGAATCCCTTTGCATGCAATCTGTTTATTTTTCTTTTCTCAATGTACTTATATGATATTGTGGGCTTCTGAGTCATTTACAATCACAATGCACTTGCCATTATTGTCTTTAGATTCCACATGAATAGTTTTTCTTAATGTTTGTCCTCACAATATGTATTTCTCTTATTGATAATAAGTTATACTGTAGTAGGCCATTTTAATCCTGTGGTCATCTTAGACAAAGTTATATTGCTGGGGAGAGGGCTCTAGAAAATACTTTAGCAATTTGGGAAATAAATAAATAAAACTTTACTCGACTGATTACGACTTGTTGATAAAAACAAATCACAAAACCGAATATTCCTCGAATATTCTTTATCTATTATGATATCAAATTTGAACAGTTCTCTTGTTAATCATTCAAAATCACATATTTTACTTGAGCACTCCTATAACCTTATTTGTCACTTTTATACTACAGCAGTCAGCACTCTTATTAGTTATTACTGTTTTGTTCACTTTCCTTCAAGTACTGATGAAGGCCGACTCTTATATTAATATTATTATATTACTACTTAGGTTTTAGCTTTAATCATAAGAATTCATTGAGACACTGTAGACTGAAGCTAAGTGTAAATCAACAAAAGTAACTTATCTTTAGAGAGTGTAATGATATCTATGTTTTCGAGATATACGAGGGTTGATCATGAATAAATAAAAAAGAATTGTGTAAAATTTGTCACTTTTTAAATTGTATGTAATGCGGTTTAATGACTTACATAAAGTTATAGGATAAATATGATTTGATTATATTGATGTTACATGAAGGTCTCTTACCAGTTACGAAATACGAATTTTTCTGATTTAATTAATAATGTGGATTCCACCAAAACATTATCTAGCTAGTTTATAAAAGATACGATGGAGTAATAATTAATGTAGTTGCCATATTCGTCAAAAAGACAACAAAAATTGCATGAGACAAAGAGCAATATGATCATTGAGAAATATATATATATATATATATATATTTGCTAAACTTACTTACAGTTATTGTGGGCTGCTGATCGTATGTCCACTAACCTCATTGTGTTCCATTATTATGACTTGTGCTGATTATACACTTACATATTTTGCTTAATCATTTCTTTCAATCGTGGGTTATAAACATTTTCGTAACTTTATTAAAATTCTTACGGGGTGATTAATTAGAAGATATATCATACGCAAAAAGAAGATGGTTAACGTCTATTCGAGAACAAGCAATAAATCATGGGAGTCTATCAAACATCCACAAATGTTTCTCGTCTCCTCGATTTTTCGCAAAATATTATTTCCTCGGACATCAAATGTTATTATTGCATTTTTTGCACCACCAATTATAAGCAATTGATATGCATTTTCTTTAGAAAATTGGAAAAGTTGAGATGAGAATCATTGGGGAACCATTTAATGAATAGTTAAGTAAGAAACTAATTCCACAATATACCTGATTTACTTTGGGGGGGGGGGGTGTTTAGATATCAAACCACCATTCATTACCTAATTCATATGAACCTTCAACATGTTTTTAATAACCCTACTAAAATGATTGGCATTAAGAAAATAATCTTAAATAAAACTTAGGTCATTGGTTAGAACTAAGAGATGGGAGAAACTGTGGAGAAGAATGAACTGATACGTAAAAAGCTTGAGCATCTTAAATTTTAGACCTTTTCATATACACTTTATTAGGTTTTGTCAAAAACCTACAATATTTATTTATCAATAATTCGTAGCCATCAACATACTATATAATCCATATAGATCTCCATATAATAGTGCACCATTAATACACACCCACCATATAATTCATATTCGCCAACTAATCTTTTCAAAAGACCAAATAAGCTCGTACGTACGTATATGTAGAGGTAACTTGGGTAACTTGTAGAATAGTATTACATCAATCTGAAATCGAGTACTTATACATATTTGCAAGAAAGACAAAAAAAGTTTTATAGAGTACAATTCTTATGAAATGAGAAATATTTCCGGAAATAGATTAAAATTTATTGAAGAAAACAAAATTCGATGATGCAAATAGAAAATACGCTAGCGTATATATATGTTATCATAATTTTTTCATACCAAAAATTATTGAGAGAATTTTAAAACTATATATTATATATATATAGTTTTATAAAAATGGATAAAGGTGAAGTTACTATTCTGAGAAAAAAGTTCCGAAGTTTCGGGAACTAATATTTTAATGTATCAGGTGGTAGAACAAATATAAGCAGAATGACTTATCGCAACACAAAGGAAGCTAAGGATATATCTCACTTTATCATTGCAATTTCATATTCTCAATTGATATTCGCTTTTTTCCCACTAGACATGTTTTAATAATATGGTTTGTTTATAATATCTATTTAGTGTTTGGCTCATTTACGTGTTGCCTTTTACTTTGATATACATATATTGTAAATAAAGAAGCTAGGAAAAGTTGTTTTGTTTTGTTTTGAGACATTTGGGAGATTCCTCCACTACTCGAAAACCTTTAGAAAAAGATAGTGGAGGTGTGCTGCTTAAATTATTTATAGTCTCTCTATCTTTTAGTCTTTCTACGCAAATTATTTTTTAGTCTTTAAGATCTCAAAGGGACATATGTAAAGTTATATATCAACTATATAAAAAGAGTACGGGTAAAAATAAATAAAAGGTTAAGTTTGTGGTTAAATTATTATCACTTGGGAAAATTTTGTGAGAATCTGACAAAAGTGAAAAAAGAAATGTTGACGACAATATATCTTTGCAGTCCGAATAATGACAATAAAAACAAATAATGGAAGATTAAGTGGGAAATGAGTTAAAGATCATATTTTTTCTTTTTTTTTTGTCAAACCTCTAAAGAAAATTTGAAACACAAAAAAAAAATGAAAAGGAAGTTGATAAACTCAATCCAAATATCAAAGATTGTGATAATAATGATCATAATCATGACTATATCTTCATAATTATATTGACGACGACGAAACAATGATATGAACTGATGAACAGTAACGTTGTCACTGTAAGCAAAATCTGCAAGTTGCATTGTGGGGATATATATTACCTGGAACAGTTATATGTTTTTATTTGTTAATCAAAGTGACATAAACTTAACACTGCATAATTAACCAAAAAAAAAAAAAATCTAAGCAACTAACACAATTAAACTGCAAGAAGATAACAAAGGTAACGTGATAATTTTATGTTTTTTTTTTTCAGAATCAAAATATTATTTTACAAACACACTCGTTTCCGTAAGATTTATTAGTAATACGCTTAATTTTATGCATATACCGACTTTTTTTTTTTTTTTCACTCGTATGCTGTTCGGGTCTTATAAGATTGTGTGCATTACAAGGTTTTTGTAATTACTGAAACATACGAAAAATTAAAAGAAGAAATTAGAAAAGGTAAGAAAATAACAATACTAAATAAATAATTGGAAATGAGGAATCACACATGGATTCCATTCGATGACATTGCACTGGTGGATTCTTCACTATGTGTTTTTTTTGTAGTACACCTTTAATTGTTCTTCTCGTGTCTCTCTCACCTACACGATTCATACCTCTCCCCCTAATATACACACTGCTTTACATATTTCCCATCTCAATAATTTTTTTTTATTTAAAACTAGTTATAACAAACATATACCATATTCTAACATCGTATATAGACAGTGTGACTAAGATGAAACATATTATTAACACATGAACTACCAGTCAACGAGTTGCAAGAATTAATGTAAAAGATCAAAAATTATTTTAAAACCAACTTAAATGCATTTATTTTCTTTTTCCAAGTGTTATATTAAAGCTATTGATACTTGATACTTTGATAGCGTTTTTTGCCTAACGCAATTTTATATTTCCACACATGTATAAACTTTAAACCCAAGATACAAAAAAAAAACGAGGGCAGTACAAATCACATAGGAATCCTTCAAGGTACAAAAATCTCCAACAGTATTTTATGTCAGGATAAAATCGAATTTCACTTTCCTTAGTGTACTACAATTGAAAACACAAAAAAATAGATGGGAAGTTTAAGAGAATAGGAATCTACAAAGAAGCAGCAGCCTAACCACAGTACTTTCGAATTGATATTATTAAGATAATATATTCGAGGATTCTTTACAAATACAAGAAAGATAAAATATAAAAAAAAAATTAACTAATTTGCTTTGGTCAAAACTGGGAAGAAATAAAAATAAAATGTTGGAAAGAATAGAATAGAATGAATATGGTAAGGAAGTAAAACAATACCAACCAATGATCATAATACTAATCCGACTTTCTAAAACACATTTCCCTATATAAAGCCAAAGGCCACTCTCATCCTTCTTTCACCTCCAAATCCATCATTACATCAGAACCCAATCCTCTTCATCTCTCTCGGCTAATTTCACAAAGCACATAAACCGAACCAAACCGGTTCGGTCATTGTTCTCTGTCTCCTCTGCTGCTACCTACCTCTGTCTCTATCTCTCCGGTACGTATCCTTCTTCTTCTTCTTCTTCTTCTTCTTCTTATGTCTTCATCACATAGATTTCATGACGGCTTCGAAACGCTCTTCCTCTTTCTCTCTCTCTCGCTCGCATTGTTTTCGTGACTGTTCATTACCCAATTTTGAAACATATACAACATTTGAGATTTTATTCTTTCTTTCTTGTAACTTCTGATTCTCCACAATAAAGATTTTTTATATAAATTTTGCAATGAATCAATCTCTACGCTTTAAACTCTTTTTTTCCAGCAATGGCAGAGTCTCGACAACTCAATACCCATGCCAAAAAATTGAATCTTTTTTTTCTTTCTTTTGGCTCTCGCTCGCCATGTGTAGAGTGAACTTCACGACAACGTTATCAAATTCATACCCATCTTCTTTTAGGACATCTCCTTCAAACACGTTACATGCATCCCTTAATGTTTTCTTTGCTTCTCTTCCCCTTTAATTCGTGTTCCACCTTTTTCATTTCCTTTTATTTTTTTTTGGTGTTTTTTTTGGTTGTTGTTGCAGAATCTTTAACCAAGAATGGCGTTGAAGAACGAGAAGAAGATGACCAAGAGTTACTTTGACGTTCTTGGAATCTGCTGTACATCAGAGGTTCCACTGATTGAGAACATCCTCAAATCCATGGATGGTGTCAAAGAATACTCTGTTATCGTTCCGTCAAGAACCGTCATCGTCGTTCATGACACTCTCATCCTCTCCCAGTTCCAAATCGGTAAAGCTTTTTTAATAATTAGTCTATTCTTTAGGTTCTGAAACTAAAATTTTAGGCAATTTAACTTAATTAACACTTTATAAATAATACTAGTATTAAATATCTTCGAAAATATTTGTTTTTTTGTTTTTTGCTCTGTTTCGTGTCCAATACAATACAATACAATATTTGACTCTTTTCCAAAAATAAACAAAATGTGCGTTTTTACGTAACGTCTCATCATTCACATTATTAACGTTTATAAATTTCTCCTTTGTTTTTTTTTCTTTCAATTGGATTCATTTAGTTAAGGTGTGGATTGGTTTTACAATGATGTAATTATGATTATGGTGGGTTTGCAGTAAAAGCACTAAACCAAGCACGGTTGGAAGCAAATGTGAGGGTCACCGGAGAAACCAAATTCAAGAATAAATGGCCAAGTCCCTTTGCGGTGGTTTCCGGTGTGCTTCTCCTCCTCTCCTTCTTCAAGTATCTCTACTCTCCCTTCCGTTGGCTAGCTGTCGTTGCCGTGGTTGCTGGAATCTATCCTATACTCGCCAAAGCTGTAGCATCCCTTGCAAGGTTTAGAATCGACATCAACATCCTTGTTGTTATTACCGGTACGTAATGTCTTTACTCTTTTTCTTTTCTTTTCTCTTTTCAAGCTAAAATTCTGATATCTTTTGTGTGAGTGTTACTCTCTAATTAATGTGATTATTAAAAGTACTAATATATGTATGTGTCAATATGAAGTTGTGATTGGCCATTTAGAAATATTTATGGTCAAGTCAAGTCAACACAAAGCAATTGCTTTTTCCTTTGCATTTACCCTTCTTTATGCTACTTTGAGACCAAAAGAGAAATTGAAAAAAAGAACCCGTTAAAGCTGCTTTTTAGAAAAAAAATTTCTATTGGTTTAGAAGATGTTCATAACTTTTTTTGTTAGAGGAATTATCACTTACTACTTCAACAAAATAATTGAAGAAAATGATGAGTAGTACGGTAATATAGTCTTGTACGTTCAAGAGTTATTGATTATGTTGGAGCTAAAATGTTAAGTAAGAAAGATCAAATAATTACTCAAATCTGATTTCAAAGCTCACTACAGCTAATGATCTTTTCCCTTGTTTCAATCAGTGGGTGCAACCATTGGTATGCAGGATTACACAGAAGCTGCAGTGGTTGTCTTTTTATTCACAATTGCCGAATGGCTCCAGTCAAGAGCTAGCTATAAGGTTCATATTACTTCCATCACTTTTGATGATCAGTAGTACCATATTAAGTGTACTGTTTTACGTTTCAGGCAAGTGCAGTGATGCAGTCTCTTATGAGTTTAGCTCCACAGAAGGCAGTGATTGCAGAAACTGGAGAAGAAGTTGAAGTGGATGAGCTCAAGATCAATACAGTTATAGCAGTCAAAGCTGGTGAAACCATACCAATTGATGGAGTTGTTGTGGATGGGAACTGTGAAGTTGATGAGAAAACCTTGACAGGTGAAGCTTTCCCCGTGCCTAAGCTGAGAGATTCAACGGTCTGGGCTGGAACCTTCAATCTTAATGGTATGAAAAGGCTCAAGACCTTTCCCCTTTTGCTTTTTAGGAACTCTATCTGTGATTCTTTCAAAAGTTTGATCTTAACTAGCTCCTCTGTTTTTTGTTTGCAAGGTTACATAACTGTGAAAACCACTGCTCTAGCTGAGGATTGCGTGGTTGCCAAGATGGCAAAGCTTGTAGAAGAAGCTCAGAACAGCAAAACTGAAACTCAGAGATTTATAGACGAGTGTTCCAAGTACTATACTCCAGGTATCAGTAACTATATATATATATATATATATATATATTCTTTTCATTACTTCTTCTTTATCTTCTTGATTGAGACCTTAAATTTACTTGTATGCAGCGATCATCCTGATATCAGTTTGTTTTGCGGCTGTCCCATTTGCACTGAAGGTTCACAACCAGAAACATTGGTTTCACTTAGCACTAGTTGTGTTAGTAAGTGCTTGTCCTTGTGGGCTTATTCTCTCTACACCAGTAGCCACTTTCTGTGCACTCACAAAGGCAGCCACATCAGGACTTTTGATCAAAGGAGCTGATTATCTTGAGACCTTGGCCAAGATCAAGATTGTTGCTTTTGACAAAACCGGAACCATCACTAGAGGCGAGTTCATAGTCATGGATTTCCAGTCACTTTCCAGTGATACAAGCCTGCACAGTTTACTCTACTGGTGACACATCTAAACTTTTAACCACTTTACTAAACAACACACATGGTTTTGTTGGATTGGCCTGAGTATTGTGGAATATGACTATTTCAGGGTATCAAGCGCAGAGAGCAAGTCAAGCCATCCAATGGCTGCTGCACTTGTAGACTATGCAAAATCTGTCTCAGTTGAACTTAAGCCTGAAGCGGTTGAGGATTACCAAAATTTTCCAGGAGAAGGAATATACGGCAAGATTGATGGCAAACAAGTATATATCGGTAACAAAAGGATTGCTTCCAGAGCTGGGTGTTCATCAGGTACATATCAAAACTAATGCATTGAGGTTTTTGGCTTTGATCTACTCTCTGATGGTTTCTTTGCTTTGGTGTATGTATACAGTTCCAGATATCGATGTTGATACCAAAGGAGGAACGACAGTTGGTTATGTATATGTTGGAGAAACACTGGCTGGAGTTTTCAATCTCTCAGATGCTTGTAGATCTGGTGTAGCTCAAGCAATGAAAGAGCTGAAATCTATGGGAATAAAGACTGCCATGCTTACCGGAGATAATCAAGCTTCGGCCATGCATGCTCAAGAACAGGTGAGCAAACAACTTCTCAGTTTGATGCTACTCTTGAAACTTAGTACTACTCCCACTGATGAATACTTGAAATGTTATATGAACAACAGCTAGGGAATGCTATGGATATTGTTCGAGCAGAGCTTCTTCCAGAAGGGAAATCTGAAATCATCAAAGAGTTTAAGAGAGAAGGGCCAACGGGGATGGTAGGGGACGGGTTGAATGATGCACCAGCTTTAGCTACAGCGGATATTGGTATCTCGATGGGTGTTTCCGGCTCTGCACTCGCAACAGAGACCGGCAATATAATTCTGATGTCTAATGACATCAGAAGGATACCACAGGCGATAAAGCTTGCACGTAGAGCGAAAAGGAAAGTGGTGGAGAACGTGATCATATCAATTAGTATGAAAGGAGCAATTCTTGCATTGGCTTTTGCTGGTCATCCGATGATTTGGGCAGCTGTGCTTGCTGATGTAGGAACTTGTCTGCTTGTGATCCTAAATAGCATGTTGTTACTAAGTGACAAACACAAAGCTGGAAACAAATGTTATAGGGAGTCTTCTTCTTCTTCCTCTGTCTTAACCGCAGAGAAAATTGAAGGTGATGCTGCTGGAGACATGGAAGCAGGTTTACTACCAAATACCAGTGGTAAGCATTGCAAGTCAGGCTGTTGTGGAAAGAAAAATCAAGAGAAAGTGATGAAATCAGCTAAAACCAGTTCAGCCCATGGTCACACTGGTTGTTGTGAGAAGAAACACAATGTAAGGGCTGTGGAAAAGACGTGTTGCGCAGAAACTGGTGTTTTAAAACTAGGCCATGACTCAGGGTTTTGTGGTGAAAAGACTCAGAAACCACACCAGCACCAACATGAGGTGAAGTGGTGTGGTGAAAAGACTCAGAAACCACACCAACACCAACATGAGGTGAAACAAAGCTGTCATACCAAGTCATCCTGCCTGGACAATGGAACTGGTTCTAAACAAAAAAGCTCTTCAACCTTGGTCAATCGGGAAGGAGATGAGCAAGGGGAGGTGCAAGTGTCAGTCAAAGGTTGTTGCTCAAGTCCTGGTGATTCCAAGGTAGCTAGCTTAAAATTGAGTAATGGGGATTGCAAGTCGAGCTGCTGTGAAAGTTCTAAGATGGATGATAAAGAAGAAACATGTTCACAAGCGAAGGAGACTTGCAAGTCTCACTGTAGCAGCAGAGAGAGGAGTCACCATGGTAGCAGCTGTTGCAGGACCTACGCTATGGAGTCTAGCAGTCACCATCACCACCACACAAGGGCTGCGGCTGGCTTAACAGAGATTGTGATTGAATAGCTATTAGTTCTCGCTCACATTTGTACTTGTAACCTTTCATCTTGCAATCATCAGAAAGAATGATGTATGGATCGAGGAACCATGTGATTCATCTAAGGAAATGTGAACCTTTTGAATACTTATCTTTTAATCTTCTCATGTTTATCATCGATCTCAGAAAAGGGTACTAACAATTAAAAGTTACACCTTATCTCAAGTAAGTAAAAAATTGGTGCCAAACACAAGTAGATGATGTTGATGTATCTGTTACAAGAATAATTGACAGTTAAAGACTATGATTCTTCATCAGTTCATTGATCAGATATAATAAATAAAATATAAGATAAAACAAATACAATAAAGGAAAAAAAAAGAACCAAGTTTCATAATCTTAGATATGTACAAACGCTAACACAGTGGATCTTTTAAGAACTTCTACAGACTAAACAAATCATCCCAACCCTATAAACTACCTTCAAATGCCAGTTCCTATGATATGCTTGTTGACTAATCATCATTTGTTGTTTGCCTCGCATGACAGTATTTGACAATGCAGGAAAAGCTTCATAATTCCTGTAACAAGTCAAGTTCTTAGATTTATCAGAAGCTTCAGACTTCATTCAATTGGATTCACCCTTGGATTTTACAGTGTAGTCTCCGACTGTTCCATTCCAGGTTTTAAATGAAGCAGAAAGAACCAGACATGCTTCTATGCTTCTTCCGTAACGTTTGCGATCTGAGAGCAGAAGACCACCAGTTCTTTGAAAGAAATGGCATGAATCAACTTACACCAGCACAAATCAGGGTGATCATGTTACCGTTTCAAGTACACAGCCCTCAAGTATTCCTCAGTTCAACAGTTCATGACTTCCAGCCACCCCTTCGTGGTGACAACCCTATGAGACAATGAGCTAGGCCGGATGCTCTGAGATCTCAAGTAACACAGTAGCTCCACCGGTGAATAAAGTTCAGACCAGTTGGATTATAAAACTAGTCTCTTCTCCCTAAAGGCCGTCCAAAATTTTGCCTTCTTTGGATCCCATGTTGCCAAGCATCTCTATATCTATCCCCAGGAGGATCGGAATCATCAACTGAGTTCTCCCTTCGAATATTTCCATTTCTTGGAAATGTTGTTGTGCTCAGCTTCTCGTCATCTTCTGATGGTGTCCCTGACCTGGATTCAGGGTGCATATCGATGGATCTGGTCCTTGGCCCACCTGATCTGAAACCTCTAGCATTAGGTGCTTTCGGGATAAAGCTAGGTACCTTTGGAACCGGGAAATCCTTGGGAAGAGACTCCATCTCCATAAAACAGTTCCTTGCTTTGGCATCAGTGATCAGTGCTGCCCAATCCTCGCACTTCATTAGAGCAGATGCATTTCCCATGACCTGATAAAAAAACGAGCCTTAGACACTTTAACAAGAAACCAGACAGTTATATAAAAAAAAATGTACTTTGTCCAAAAAAAAAAAATTCACCAAGAGATCATACCCATAGAGCCCTTTTGGCACGGGTGAGAGCAACATTCATCCGCCGAATATCAGCAACAAAGCCAACCCCATGATTGGAAGCACGCACACATGACATGATTATAACATCACGTTCTTGGCCCTGAAACGCGTCTACAGTATTGATATAAATCTCTTTCAGTTCATCTTGGCCCAAAGCATTTCCAAACTCGATTTTCAGGCATTTCAACTGCAGTTTGTATGGGGTTATGACCCCAACAGAGACTTTACCCCCGCCCAATGACTTCAGAGTTCTCTGAAGATGCAAGTACACACCAACACAAAAGCGAGCTTCATCAATGTTCTCATAAGACACTGATCCACCTCTATGGGATTCCCGCCCATGGCTGATATCAAAGAAAAGGTAAGGCTTAAGGACAGAATCTTTGTAATAAATCTCATCAGGAGCAGCAGAAACACTTTCACTGTCTGTGAGGCGTCCTTGGTAGAAATATCTTGAAGGGAAATCGCGTATTTGAGGATGCATCCTATATTGAACTGTTAACAACAAAGTTGGACAACCTGCTAATTGAAACCTTTCAAAGAGACTTCTACTGTACAAAAGTGTTCCAGCGGCTTTGCTAATGACTGTAGCAGGAAGCTGCTGAGGATCACCCACAAGTACACATCGTGCAGCACCAAGAGCAAGGGGAGGAAGAACTCCAACCTCACTAGCTTGGGCAGCCTCATCGATGACCACCATATCGAAGCCATGCGTAAGGCGAGAAAACAGTTTACGACCACTACTTGATACAGTTGTAAAAACTATTTCAGCCTCGTTTGCGAAACTTGCCTCAAGACTTGCACGAGCTTCTTCAAGATTAAAATTATTACCTGCGCGAAACTTTCCCTCAACAATGAGAAGGCGAGACATTTCAACAAGATCTTTATCTCTGGCTTCAACAGCAGCCGAAAGACGCTGTAACAGTGCATCTCTTGTCTGGTCTCTAGCCATAAGAACATCAGGGTCAACGCCAACAGATCCCTGAGAACGGTTAGCAAAGGCTGCAGCAGTAAGTTCCCTTTTAAGTCCAGCAATCTCTTGAGATAGTTGAGCTTCTCGTAATCTAAGGTTGTGCATGTGTCCTAGAATTTCATCACGGGACTTGGCTAATAATTGCTCACTTCTTCGCTCTACAGAAACAGCTTGTGCAGCTCTCGTTTGGGTATCAACACCTACTCTAGCCACATCAGGACGATAAACTCTCATTTCTCCATCAATAAAACCGCGATCAAGGACCCGTGAAAGAAGTTCATCGGTCGCAGCATTTGAAGGAGCACAGACGAGCATCCTTGGTTTAGCGCACAATTTTGGCAGTGTACGAAATAGATTCTGGTCCATGTTTTGTAGGACTTCATCAATTGATCCCGACACAATATTATCTGAACCGCTCTCACTAACTTGTTTATAACTTTCAGGTGCTAATTTCTTCAGCAAGGAAGTGTAATACTGCTGATACTGAACCAAGTGGATAACATTCAACATTCCCCAAACTGTGTGTGTCTTGCCTGTTCCAGGAGGGCCCTGAACAAGAGTAAATGGCCATGGATCTTGCCTCTTTACCCCACTGCTTGTACCAGCTGCAGTATGCATTGCGGCCCAATGGATTGCTGCCAACTGAGGAGCATTGAAGCTTCTATGTAAGTGGCTAGCAAAGCTCGGAGTAAAACAATCGGGCACTGTAGGAGTCTGCTCCCCGTAATTAGGAAACTGCTCTGGGCTAGGCCTAAGAATTGCATTTTGCATCTGAAGGATATATGGGTTTCACCAGCATCAGTATAACAGAAAGCATAAGTGAAATGTTTATTAAGAGAAAACAAAACCAACCTGTGGGTTAAGCTGGGAAAACGCATGCAAAGCAACATATTCCCTTTGTGTGGTTGCAAGCGAACCAAGCACTGTCAAATGCCAGATCTCCTTAGGTTTAAGCTTCCGTAGAATATGATTATCGTCAGTCTTGCTGGTAAAGCAAATAAAAAAGGTGTAAGAAAGTAAAGAAATGAGAGAACGGAAATAAATGCTCCCAGTAAGAACGGGTCGAAAAAACTCAGCTTAATATATCAAGCATATAAAAATGCATATACCTGCCAGAGTCATAAGTATCTCCAACATAGAAATGGAGAATTGCTCCATGAGGATCTCGAGTATCAACCGGTATATATCTCCTAACTGTACCAGCTACACGTCCAGCATCATCATGCTCTCCTTCTAAACATAAAAAGGAAAAAAATTATAAAAATATACAGAGAAGCACAAGCAGTAAAAAAACCAACCAGACAATCTATGAGTTCCAACCATACCTGATTCCGGCACAGGATTTGAAAGAACTGCAACATCTCCCTCCTTGAAAGCCCATTTACAGTCATTTACTGAGAGAAGTATCACATCATACCATCCTAACAAGATAAAAAGAAAGGCTAGCAGTTAGGTAACCAGAGAACAATCAGTAGAGAGTTAACATAATTGCCCAAAGGCCTTACAAATGTGAATCAGGTAATAGGGCTGGTTACCTCTCTCTCTTCTTTCGATGAATTTTATTCTAACTTTCATGTATGAATTTGCCTCAGCCGATTCTTCCCATGTACTGTAAAGTTGTGCCCGGCACTCCTCGAAAAGTAAAGGTTCAAACACTCTAACATATTCATCCATGGATTCAAACCGCTCAGGAACACACTGGAGATCAGTATCCTCTAAAAACAAGAAAAAATTATGAAATAGAGTCAATTACGCTATGGATAATAAGGCAGAAAAAATTAGACATGTATCATAATCCATATAAGTCAAATTTCCCAGTGGAAGTGTACAGAACAGACCAGAGGCATGTCAATCAAAAAGCCTACCAATATCCAATATTCACTAATAGCCATTCAAGTTTCAGATAAGCATAGAATCATCCAGTTTTTTTTTTCCTTAACTAAGATAACTAGTATTAAAGCCACCGAGACAAAGAGCCAACCTGATTAATGATATCTAGCGAGAACGAACAATTACTAACAAAAACTAGAATTCTGTCATCTACTTTTACAAGTATGATTTAATCGTATCACCTTCCAAATCCTGTGGCCATAATGTTTCTCACTGAGCCATGATTCGGGACACAGGGAACTGGCACCAGAGCAGTAGAATTTAATTGGCATAAAAGTTCCTACCTTAAATGAAGATAACTTAAATTGAAAAAGTAGGAGCACTCAAACACACGTTCCATAAGCAGAAACACTATATAGGACATACCTGGATGATGCCAGAACTTTTCGTTGGTCACCTCTCGTATAAGACGCTCCACGGAGGTATCTTGGTATTGGGTACTATTGACTTGTTTCTTGAACAAAGAAAATTTCTTGTTTCCAAACTTTGTGTCAGCAGAACTTTGACTGGACAGGGAGACTTGTCTATTTGACGAATGACCGCTCTTCAGCTGCCGTGAATTTATTGGCTGCTTCCATGAACCCTGCCTTGACACAGAACCTTCAGCAGAAGGTCCTGCCTCCCCATTCATTCTCCTATTTTTACCAACCGCGCCAGATTGTGATTCACCATTAGATTCTAACTTAAATTCAGATGTTTCTGGATGTATGCCACCATTCGGAGTGTCAACTGGTTTCTGATCCCGGTATACAGCATGCCCTGGAATCCCGCCTCCTTGTTCAGCAGGTGGAGGACCTGCGCGAGATTCTCTAACTGTACGCGTGACAATAGGTTGTGGGAAAGTCTGTCTTCTAGGAGTAGTTGTCTTAATAGGACCAGCTTGCTTGACATCTTCTAGGTTGAGAAACACGGTCTGCCTGTTTCGCTTCTTACCCAACATCGTCTCTTTCTGATGATCCATCTTTCTTTTCACAGTGGTATTTGCACACTTGATTGCATGACTTGCTTCAACTCCTTTAGTTTCTCTCTGCCTCACTGTTAAACCCTGTTCTTGGGGACTATCTATTGATGTACTATCTTTACCACTGCTTTCTGAAATATGATTGACGGTTCTCTTTTGAAGACCAGAGGATGAGTTGATATCTAATCCTATTGCACCGTTATCTTTCTCATCTTTCTCTGTAACATTAGAATAATCAGAACTACTATGTACATTTTCATTGGCAGGAACCTCCGACTCTGTCCATTCTCCTTCTTCTCTCTCAGGTGCTCCGGCATCATTAGGAACTATGAATGATGCAACCTTTGCTTCCTCTAATGTGTCTGGCCTCGACGATGGCAATGAAGCCTTAAGAGAACCCTCACCCATCTTCTGTTCAACTGAGACATCCGTACGTTGAGCAGAGATAGGGCGGACAAAAGGCTGAAAACCAGAAACCGTTGATGCATGTGAGAACACTCGGTTGTTTACATTATCTTGGGAGGAGGATGGTGTAGCAAGCAAGCCAGAGGTATTGGTGTTAGCAGATGGGATAACAACCTGTGGCTGATTGCAGTTAACATTATCATTCCCATCATCATCTTCTGTAGGAAGTTCATTAAGATCAAATAACAATTTTCCTTCTGAAGCCATCTCGTATGTATAGTCATAAACTGTGTATAATTCCAAGCTAGTGCAACTTATAATATCTAAGATGCCAGAATAACACCAACCAAAAGTCGTATCCCCTCTTACGACACCAGCTTCTGCAGAGAAAGGATTAAACCAATCAAATTCTTGGCAAACTTAACAATTCGATAGACAAACAAAAAACAATTGATAAATCGATTCAAATCACCAAGTGCATTACTCAGTTCGAATGTGTATCAACGTGACAAAGATTCTCACTTCCCCCATTTTTTGTACTTAAGCAATATAAAAAAGACAGATTTTGTAATCCAATTAATATAGGTAATGCACGCAAATAGGAAAGATGATAAGAAATCTAATAAAAATAAAACAATCTCTAAAATCGCCGCAACCTAAAAAAAAAAAATTCTTTCAAAACTTAAATTGAAGCCAAACCACGCGCAGGAACAAGCAAAACCCATAAAATCAACTATCGAAGACGAGATCAATGGAGCGTAGATATATTAATAACAAATAATTAAAAAAAAAAACAAAGTTCGAGATCGAGCAAACGAACCAGTGACGGTGTCGGTGGGGGCGGCGGCTAAAACCTCTCTAAAATTGATCGGATCGCCCAAAATTAAAATTGCCCTACGAAATCTCAATCTCAATCTCAAAATCTCAATTCCAATCTCCCAATCCGGGGAGTAAAAAGGCAAAAAGGAACAGTTCAAAACGGCGGCTGAAAAATCCGAAAGTAACGGCGAAGGGGACGGATCGAAGAAGATCTGGTCAGTTCGTCGAATTCGAATAGAGAGAGAATCTGGTGGTTGAGAGACGACGAGACTCGTTCTAATCAAATCGGATCACGACCGTTGGATTAAGACCAAAGAGAACTAATCCGACGGCCTAGAACGAAGCCAAGACAAAATATGTATAAAAAAAAGTGAGAGGAGTTGTTTACAGTGAAGAGGGAAGGGGGAAGGAGAAGACCTTTTGTGGTTTTGTGTTGTGTTGTGTATTTTTTGCAAATTGCTTACTCTTTTGACGCTAAACTCGATATCTTATTTATAGCCGAGAGATAGAAGAGAGAGAGAGAGAGAGAGAGAGAGAGAAGAGAGGCCAAGTTTGGTTCGCTTCTATTATTGCGTCAAAAACTAGGTTTTTCATTTATTTTTATTTTTTAATTTATTATATTTCTTTATAGTTTTGTGATATCTATTATTAATTGGTGAATTATTTAGATTTTTGGATTTTGGATACTCTATTACTGTCTTAGGTCCCCTTGTGTCATAATGCTTGTAATTGGGATAACGAATATAAAGCTTTGTTTTTCCATGATTATATATATTAATTAGGCTGATTTTCGTCTGTAATTGGGGACTGTGGCGACAGTCAAAATTTATGTGTGTAAATTATTGTGGCTTTAGTAAAGAAGAAGAGGTGAAAAATGGGGGTTGTTGAAGTTGTATAATGACTGTAAATATATAGAATCAAATTGTATAATTCTAAAATAATTGAATTTAGCAAGAGTATAGAGCTTATTATTGGTGATTTACATTAGAAGTATATTTTAGATTATTTACTAAATTATGTTTTTCTATAATTAATATACGCGCGCTTTTTTAAACTGACGGCTAACTACTAAAAAATAGTTAAAAACGTGTGTATATTAGTTTTATTACCTTTTCTAGTAGCTAACTATTGGTTGATAGTATAAAATAAGAATCATTTTTTATTAAATAAAATCAATTAAATTTATAAGATAATTTAAAGAAAAATATATTTTTAACAAAATTGATAAAGATCCACTTTAGTTTATAGTAAGAAACACGTAAATATAATTTTCTAATTGAGCTGGTTCATGAATCGTGACAGTATGACACCAATGCAAATAGAAACAAGTAAGATTTCTTTCTTATTTATATTTAAATGGTCTAATTACAGTTTGTAGATTACATAATTAATTTTAATAAAGATATAAACAAAGCATTGGATTTTATTAGTATGCAACTTTTATCTCATACCTCTAATATTACATATACTACTAAAATATATAGTCAAAACAACTATTTAATATAAAAATCTAAACTTAACAAGTTTAAGAAAAAGTCAAGGAAATAAAAAAGGAAATTAAACATTTTTTACTTTTAGACATATTCTTTTACATTTAAGTTTATATCCTTCCGTTTTAATTGCAAAAAGAACTTTAATAGTCAGATTAAGGGCTAATTACGACTTTTCAGATACGACATCAAAAACAGGCGTTTTGCACAAGATATTTTTCAATTGGGACGCACACCTTTTCATCAAAATCTATACAAAAGTAATTGGGTGATTTATAGAATTTATCAAAAGTAAGTGGACAGATATGTAATTATAGAAAAGATGAGAAGACCCTTTATTTGACTTGGTACGCTTTAGTCTCTGGTCTCCTCTCTCTCGCGACTCGCGCTCTCTCTCTCTCTGACTGTGCTAAGTCCTCCTCTGTTGCAGTCTCCAATAATGGCGATTTTTAAGTCACTTTTATTTATTTTTCTCGTAACGCTTCAAATTGCTTCATTCACAGCTTCTTCCTCAGAAAACAATGGTTGTAATAATGAACATCAGAACCATTTGCTCGACGAACTCAAATCCACTGTCTCTGATCTCCGTACGTCTCATATCACTTTTACCCTTTTCGATTTTGGTTTAGTTTCCCAGATTATGCAAATTTTCTAGCTTAGTGTCTTTGTAAAGGTTTAGTCTTTTTTGAAGTTTTCTCTGCGATTAGTTAAGTTTTCTAGGATTTCTGAAGAACTGTAGAAAAATGTTGAAAAAGGTCTTTTGATTTGTTGCATTTCTTAGAAAGATTCTGGAGAAATGAGTAACGGTTCATTAGATTTGTTTATATGAGGTTTATGTTTCTTGGTTTGGTTTATGGAGAAATCGCTTCTGTTAACCTTTTTTGGAAAAGGAGAGAGACGTTTCACATTTTCAGCTTCAGTTCTGTTTCTGGAGATTACTTGTAACGTTTGTTTCTTTCCAAAGTTGATGACCTTTTTATAATTGTCTCAGCTGCATCTTGATCTATGGTTGCTAACTATTGAGAGGTTTTTTTTGTTTCTTTGTGAGTTGTCTAAAGAATCAATCATCACTGAGAAAAACCAAGAATTGATTATCAAGGAAGAGAAAATCCAAGGTCTGGAGTTATATATCCGGGAGAAATCGTACTTGTTTGAGAGTGAGACTGATTTTTCAAAAGTGAGGCATCTTCTGAGTTTGATTCATTTGCCTATAAAAAGATGTAGAGAGAATTTTATTTAATTTTGTTGCTTTTAATGCTTTATTTAGTCTAAGGATGGGGTGAAGCATGCTAGTAAAGCAGAAGAAAAGATTTTTGAGCTTCAGAAGCAGGTTGGTTTTGTAGCTTGAATTTTGTGTATTTCCTTTTGTTCATTACTTTTATTCCATCGTTTGATAAAACTTGTGCATTGGCAGGTATTTGCTCTAAAACGGGAAGTGGAATTGCAACGCAAGAGAAGGCTTGAAGTGGAAGCTGAGAAATTTGCACAACCTAGCTCAAAGCTTGAAAATGTAAGAGATATGGTGTCTCTAGGATTTGATCTACGTATTACAAGAGCTTACTCTTCTTTTTGTTTCCTGTGGACAGATTGATGGAAAGTGGTTCTTGGCTAAGCTTGGTCTTAACCTGAATAAAACTCAGGTTAATCTTAAAGAAGACACATAACATTGCACAATCTAGTGATTTGGCTCTTCTAAAAAGGCCTCTTTTTCATGGTTGCAGGCCTATCTGATGACCTTATGGCATCAACATCTGAGCTCAGCTCTTCATATCACTCTTCAAAAGGTTTGTCTTCAATTCAAATTTTTTTTTCTTCAGCTCCTTTAAACTTCCCTGTATAAATTATTCCTTTTTCTTCTTCTTCAGGTCTTGCAGAAAATTGACCAAGTCCAAAAATGGTCAGAGCCTCACATCGAAACCCTGAATTCAGTGAGTATTGTTCTCATTGCACGCTTATATATTTTTCATTTACTTGATACTGGCATCTGAGTCTTCCCCTTGATTTTTCAGAAATGGATTCCAAGCATCAAAGATGCATGTGTGACATTAACTATATATCTTGAACCAAAAGTTCAGTATTTAACTGATAAGTCCATCGAGGTGTTATGTACATCTAAGCAGGCTTTGACACCACATCTCATCCAAGGATTCGATGCATCATACTATTATTTTGAGGTAAATATATTTACATATACTTTTCTTCGACTTTGCATAAAACATTGTGAGCATTATCTTGTTTATCTTAGGTAATCAAAACACATACACATCCATACACGATCCGGATTATGACCATAACGAAACCACACTTGGAGAGAGTACAAGTTGCCTTAGAGCCATATACTGAGAATGTAAGACATGGCTTTAAGAAGTTGGTTAACTCGACAAAAATCTATCATCAACAGGTATACACATCATAGTATTTTCCAGTTTTGTTGAATATAACTTGCAGTAACACTTTGATAAGCTTCTCTCTGATGGAAGCAAGGCTCAAGAAATGTTGAAGAACAATGAGCTCACGAAACCGATTGCTACCATGGACTTAGCTTGGGTTGGGGTATGTGTTTCTAACAATTTCCGTTCATTTCAATACATCTATAGTAGAGTATACAAATCATAACTAAGTCACTTGTCATTTTGATTTTAACAGGCCACAGCTTTAATTGGCTTCCCACTTATATTCATCATCAAATTGCTTACTGCAGTCTCCAAGTAAGCTTTGAACATCTTTCAACAATAGTCTACAACTTCACTTAAAAAAAAAAAAAGAGATTCAGTCTGTTGTATCAGAAAGTGACTTCGAAACTGAATCTTTTGTTTGCTGGTCGAACAGTCCAAAGGGGAAGAAGAGATACAGCCATAGAAAAGAACCAGTCAACGGGTATCGAAGAGCCAAACGCCGTCATCCTCAATAATGAAACAATAGAACTATAACTTTAGGAGATCAAAAAGGTTTTAGTGGTTTTACTTACAGACATTGCCTGTGGTTCCTGTTAAGATGGTTTACTCAAATGAAGGAAACATCTTTTGCTGGTGGTTTGTATATACCTTTCTGATTTCTCAGAACCCAAAACAACAGTTATTAGTTTTGGGCCTCTTGGCTGAAGAAATTGAGCAGAGCTGTTCTACAAATCTCTGTAGTAAGGAACAATATTTTCAGTTTGTCGTCATAGTTTAAATTTTGATACGGCATGTCAATGTAGCCAAGCCAGGCCCATCCCAACTGGGTTGGTCCGAGTCCAAAATAAAGAAAGCCTTTTTAGTTTCTAGATAAGAAAATATCTTTCTCTATCTCTTCCTTCATACTGTATATAAAAATCAAAAGTCCATCGAAAAAAATTTGTGAAGACAAAAGGGGAGAAAGAAAAGGACAAGAGAGAGTCAATGTCTATAACGACTGTTTGTGTCTGATCCCAATTTCATGTCTTTATATGTCTCCTCCTTAAAAGGTCGCTTTTCATTTACGCTCTTTCTTGTTTTTAGCTTTCTTTTCTCTTTTTAGCTTTTCCATTTATCATCATCTACCATTTTCTTTCATACCTATTTATATAAATAACCTCCATAATTTATTTGTGAAAAAACAAAAAATTATGTTTTTATAATCTCTCTTGTTCAAAATAAAAATTAGAATTGAACAAACCTCTGTAGATTGAGGCCACAGCAAGCCCAAGTTTTCCAAAAGTTAAACCTTAAGTGAGTCGAGTCCAAATCTTAAACACATTACCCATATATGCTAAGATAAGATAACCGATGAAACATAAAAGGTGTATGGACTAAGAAGAGTATTACATGCAAAATGTGATAAGCAAATCTGGAGGAGTTAAGAGGACAATCAGATCAGATCCGGTGGTTTAGGTTGGAGAGCCAAATCTGCCCTTTGTGACATGCAAAATAATTACTGGATTAACATAAATGGAGACACACGTATTAACTATTGACAAGGAGAGTCTGTGGTGTTGACAAAACATTATATATGCACAGACAGACACACTTCAAATAACTTAACCATGGTTAGTCGCACGTGCTATGTCCTCCGGTCAAATATGTTTACAATTATTCATTATTTTAGTTTCTTATCATCATTCCCATTTTCATATTACGATTTTAGTACTCTTGAAATGTTGAAATGGGAATAGTAATCCCGGATTAACTTATAATTCTTCTATGCATTAGTTTTTTTTTGTTTAATACTAATATATAACAATTACTAAAAGTAAAAAAAGCTACACTACACAATCCTAACCGGCCTTCTAGTTTCTCACATATGAAAATTAGTATTACTTTAAGAGAATTCCCCTTTTGAGATATGTTTTATATATATAAATATGTGATCAATTGGGTGTATAAACATTGAACTCTGACAAAGAAGTGTTGATAGAAAAGTGTAACCTAATAAAATCACTGTTAGAAATATGTTTTTACGTAAAATAAAAAAGTTTTTAAAAAATTGATAAGTGAAATCACGCAAATTTGCATGAATTTATTACGAGATAGTTCACAAGTGCAACAGCTACGTCCGTAATCTTGTGTATATAAATCGGATATTGAATTTTTTGTTAACGTATGGCCTAGAAAGATCAAAACTCTTGGTATTAATGGGAAAGCTAACTCTTACGACAAAAAAATACATGACACATGCGGAAATTTATTGAGCCTTGATATGATGATCGTCGTATACTCACATATGTATGTATAATATCAATCTTTTTTTTTTTTTTTTGTATAATATCTATCTTGTTTGGATATATCATATATGGGGTACAATTACAACATTTTAGGATAAGTCACTATATAAATCTCCTTAGTGAAATAGTAAGAGCCAGAGAGGTATATACGTATATGACCATTCATTAAACCAATACTGTCTTAGAACATCGTTTAAATTGACTAGAGAAATAAATATATATACCTTTTAATCTCTAATTCCCTATGCTTGTCTAGATCATTTGATAAATTCAGGTTTAACATAATCATATGTCCGAATTTCTCTACCATTTTAGATTAATGTGCCAATTTGACTTGGATATTTATACTGTATTTATTTTTGTTTAGTTTGAAGACAGTGATATTAATTATATTACTAATAAACATGGTAAGCAACAGCAAATTGCTTACATGGTTATCAACAAAAATATCGTGTTTCGTAAACAATAAGCTACAAAATAATAAATACAATGATATTGGGATTACCAAACCAAAACTGTAAAAATTTAGTTTAATCGAACAACAATTAATGTGGCTTAGTCAAAAAAAAAAAAAGAGTTTAAACTTGCTTTGAATAGTTAATTAATTAGATGCTTCTAATCAGATTTATAGGAGATATGTCGGAAGCACCGACGACACGTGCGGATCCGTCACGTGCGCGATTCAACTCTTTAACTCATATGTCTATTTATTTTTTTAAAATAAAACAGTAACAGTAGTATATTTTTTTAATATATATAATTTCACAGTCCGTATTGTCGAATTTTATGCCCGGAATCAAGGGTTTGACTTACCAAATTGTTACCTTTTTTGGGCTTTCAATTTAAAAATTCTGGATTAATATTTTTTTTATTAACTTAAATAGAGAAGAAAATAATACTAATAAAAAAAAAGGACATGTGAAAGAGTTAATGTAAGTTGAGAAAAAAGAGATAATAATAAAAATAATAATTTTATGTTTTTAATTTAATTTTATAAATTTTTAGGCAGAAGAGCCCAAAGCTGTTTCCTTCATATATACGAACTCCTTTTTTCCCATTTTTCTTTGTGCAAAAGTGAAAAAACTTCCTTATCCGATTCTCAAGCAGCAAAACCAGCTGAGGAATCTTCAGATTCTCACCAAACCAAGATTGGTTTTTTTTCTGAATCTTCGCTCGTTTGTTCAGATCTGCCACTGTTTCAGGTTCCTTTTTTCATAAAAATTTTAATTTTGTCTCTCTTTTATCTTTTTCTCTGTTTGATCAATTTCAATTTCTTTATTTCCTTTTTTCCAATCGATTCGGTGTTAATTTGATTTGGGTTTTGTGGATATGATGACTCTATTGTTCAATCTTATTTTATATTTTGGTCTTAGTTTGTTGTACTGTTCTTATGTGTGGTTTTGGTTTGTTTGTTAAAGACCGATCTGTATCTCTTTTGCTTTTGTCTGCTTCGCAACACAAATCATTTAAGCTTAGCTATTTTCTAATTCTAACTTAAGTTTCTAAATTTGTGGTCTTTTTCTCTATTTTCTTATTGGATAATAGTTTTATAAATTTGTGTGTTTTCTGATATATTTTATGAGTTTTTTTCCGGAGATTTGATATTTGAAATCTTCTTTCTATCTGAAATGAACCTTTTTGTCGGTCTTTCTAGGAACTTTTTTTTTTTCTTTAATTTTCCGGGAAAATCTGGTTCGTTAGGTAGAGTTGACTGATACAAAGGACTTAAGATTTTTAAGTTGCTATAAAATTGCATTTTTGAACTGTGATTGTTTTGCTTTTCTTTTGTGTTGTTCTGTTTGATTAATACACCACTCTGTTTATTCAAAAGCTTGATACATTTATTTGTTTTTGTTTGCAGCAAGACTGGTGTTAAAAAAAAAATGATAAATGTTATGAATCCGCTGAAAGGTGGATCAGAGAAAGGTTTAGATCCTCAACTATGGCATGCATGTGCTGGTGGTATGGTTCGTATGCCTCCTATGAACTCTAAAGTCTTCTACTTCCCTCAAGGCCACGCCGAAAACGCTTACGATTGTGTCGATTTCGGTAACATGCCTATTCATCCCATGGTCTTGTGTCGTGTTTTGGCTATTAAGTATATGGCTGATGCTGAATCGGACGAGGTTTTCGCAAAACTTAGGCTTATTCCTTTGAAAGAAGATGATTATGTTGATCATGAGTATACTGATGGCGACGATAGTAACGGTTTCGAGAGTAATAGTGAGAAAACGCCTTCTTTTGCTAAGACTCTTACTCAGTCTGATGCTAATAACGGTGGAGGGTTCTCTGTTCCTCGTTATTGCGCTGAAACGATCTTCCCGAGATTGGATTATAATGCCGAGCCACCGGTTCAGACGATTCTTGCCAAAGATGTTCATGGGGATGTTTGGAAGTTTAGGCATATCTATAGAGGGACGCCTCGCCGGCATCTTCTCACTACCGGGTGGAGTAATTTCGTGAACCAGAAGAAGCTTGTGGCGGGAGACTCTATTGTCTTCATGAGAGCTGAGAATGGAGATCTTTGTGTAGGTATTAGGAGGGCTAAGAGAGGAGGGATTGGTAATGGACCTGAATATTCAGCTGGTTGGAATCCCATCGGAGGGAGCTGTGGCTACTCTTCTCTTTTAAGGGAAGATGAAAGCAATACTTTGAGGAGAAGTAATTGTTCGCTTGCGGATAGAAAAGGAAAAGTGACGGCTGAATCTGTTATAGAAGCAGCCACTCTCGCTATTAGCGGAAGACCGTTTGAGGTTGTGTACTATCCGAGGGCTAGCACTTCGGAGTTTTGTGTCAAGGCATTGGATGCTAGAGCTGCAATGCGGATTCCTTGGTGCTCCGGTATGAGGTTTAAAATGGCTTTTGAGACTGAAGATTCGTCTCGGATTAGCTGGTTCATGGGGACTGTTTCGGCTGTTAACGTCTCTGATCCTATCCGTTGGCCTAACTCTCCTTGGCGGCTTCTACAGGTAAGCCTCCAAAAGTTTCATCCTTTGCTTTGTAGTCTCTTTCTAGTTAGATAATAGACTTAATGGTTGCATTTTGTGTGGTTTCAGGTGGCGTGGGATGAGCCAGACTTACTCCAGAATGTGAAGCGGGTTAACCCGTGGTTAGTGGAATTGGTATCCAACGTACATCCGATCCCGCTTACGTCGTTTTCGCCACCGAGGAAAAAGATGCGGCTACCTCAGCATCCGGATTACAACAATCTGATCAATTCGATCCCAATACCTTCATTCCCAAGCAATCCCCTCATCAGATCAAGCCCGTTAAGCTCTGTTCTGGACAATGTTCCCGTGGGTTTACAGGGAGCCAGGCATAATGCTCATCAGTACTACGGGTTATCATCTTCGGATCTCCACCATTACTACTTAAATAGACCACCTCCACCACCTCCATCATCTCTCCCTCTTTCTCCTTCTCTCGGGTTGCGAAACATCGATAGCAAAAACGAGAAAGGCTTTTGCTTTTTGACAATGGGGACAACACCATGCAATGATACCGCATCTAAAAAGTCCCACATTGTATTGTTCGGAAAGCTCATACTACCCGAAGAGCAGCTATCAGAAAAAGGATCAACGGACACCGCAAACGTAGAGAAAACGCAGATTTCATCAGGCGGATCAAACCAGAACAACGGCATTGCGGGAAGGGACTTATCTTCGTCAGACGAAGGATCACCTTGCTCCAAGAAAGTTCATGATGCATCGGGTTTGGAAACAGGGCATTGTAAAGTGTTTATGGAGTCGGACGAAGTAGGTAGAACCTTAGACCTATCGGTTCTTGGTTCGTATGACGAATTGAGCCGGAAACTGTCAGACATGTTTGGGATCAAAAAGTCTGAGATGTTGAGCTCTGTTCTCTATAAGGATGCATCAGGAGCCATCAAATACCCTGGAAACGAACCTTTCAGGTACATTATTAATAAAGAGAAGATTGCCATATGTTGTTTTCATAATATATATTGACGAAGCAAGACATCTAATAAAATGTTTGATCAACTCTTGCAGTGAGTTCTTGAAGACAGCTCGGAGATTGACGATTCTGACTGAACAAGGAAGCGAGAGCGTTGTAATATAAATTTGGCAGAGGTGTTTTCTTGGAGCTTGGAAGTCAAAGACAAATCTTTAATCTTTAAGCTTTTTTTTTTTTTTTTTAATTTATTTTGGTTCCACTTTTTTGGATTCTGTAATTTTCCAAAATGCAATGCAATTCACAATCTATTTGCAAATAAAAATAGATTCTTCGTCAAAATATGTTTATACTATACATAATGGTCTTTTATATAATTGAGCTCATCCTATCAATTCTTACGCATATATGACCTTACTTAACAAAGTTGTAAGACATCACGATCCATTCTAAACATATGTTCTAACGAAAACCAGAAATATGCTACAACAAGCATTGGCTGCAGCACAAAGTGAAAATGGTGTATGTTTTTTTTATGGATTTGAATATATTCCACACAATATTATATTTATTTCTTGAGATTCATATAAAGTTGTTGAGAGGTATGAAAAGTAATAAAAATCAGGAAGACAATTAGTTAGGGTGATGCGAGGGTCATGTCTCTATGCACATGCACACCAAACAACGGTCGGATCCTATGTTTGACAAAACACAAAGTCCGCAACACCCTAAGTTTAAGTTGGATCTCCCACTTTTCATTTATTAACTCCTCCCAAAAAAAAAAACTATATATTATATTTCTATTTATTCCAAATTGTATACAAAACGAAAATTCCATATCAGCTTCAGCCTCCTAATTTAAAGTATTTGTAAAAGTACTGTACATATTGGCTTCTTCTTGGTCCTCAAAGTCAAATGTAGTTTCTAACTAAAGTCACTTTTTTCTTCTCTTCTTATTTAATGTAGAAGACAAAAGTTCTAGCACTTTATTTACTTTTTAGTCTTTAAACCTACATAGCCATACTCACTTTTCCTGCTCCAAACTAGTGTACTAGTGTCCTCTAAAAAGAAGTGTCATTGATAAGAATACAACAAAGTTATCAAGTACGATTCGATCTAAATTCAGGAATTCTGTATGATTAAAGTTCTAGTTTTGTGTCAATATATAATCTCTTTCATAGAATTCAATCAGACGCGTTAGCTAGCGATCTACAACATCAACATGGATACAAAAAAATATTAAGACTGTTAGTTGAGAGTGATGGACATCATGAAGTGTGTAAACACACGAAAAAAGGAGATGTTTTAATTAAATCCAGTCACATGTCATGATCTGAGTAGATGTAAAAAGGAACCAGATTAGGAGGTAGTATGAACATTGTATATTAAAAGAGTATATAACACATTAATGCATAAAATAATCAAATAAAGGGTTTAACAATCATAATTCAAAAGTGATTTATGTGACAACTCTTACGTCCGAAGTTGACTCTTGAACCACACATGTTCACAATTCACAATCCCAACAAGATCATATATATATAAGAGAAAACAAACAGCAAAAAACGAGAGATACATGGGGGTGGAGATTCTTGATTTAGAATTAGATTAATCATTAAATTAATCAAAGAATTCAAGTTAATCAACTGTGTGATCATAAACATTATTAGGGTTTTGCTTTGTGAACCATGGTTGAGTTAAAAGACGATTATCGATAGAGACAAGTGTGACAAAAGTCAAAGAGGGAGAGAAGAGACAGAGTAGCGAACGTTGTGGCACCAATTTTTTTTTCCTTTCTTTCTCTTCATACGTAAACAAAGAAACAAAGAAAGAAAAAAAAAAGAAAAGAAGAAGACAAGAGAATTAAAAAGAGGGCACGAGGTAGACAAAGATTCGTGAGGCAAGGAAATGCCAACTCGGAAGGGCCTTTCTTTACGTGAAGATACATCAATGCATGTGTCCCTCTCTTCAATCTTCATTTCACTCTTTTATATTTATATATATATTAATCTTCTCAAATCTGTCATTGTCTTCTCTTCCACGTTCTTTTCTCCATCCACGTGTCCCCCAATTCTAACCTAAAATTATATGATACTAATCTCGAGATTTACAACCACCACCGCGCGAATAAATTTCATAATGCTAAACTTAAGCAACAATAGAATAATATATTTTGTGTAATTAACTAGAGTAAGAAAATTCATGCCATCAGATTTCCATCGGTGATCGTTTGAAAAAGCAATCGAGAACAAGTGTTGTTGTTCTCGATATCTTCTAATATATATATGGGCCTATTGATAATTTGGAATTTTTAATACCTATATTCAAATTGGGTTTATTACGAATAGGAATCGAATAGAATTAGCCCATCACGACATATTTAGTTCTAACTCTTAACAACCACTATCGCTTGTCTTCAAATATGATTTCCAAAAACCAATCAAACTTACTCCAAGCTAACCCGAGGTCCAGTGATAAAATGGACTCCCAAAGATGATTTGATGTCAAAAATAAATAAATAGTACGACGGTTTATATAAGATGTCCCAAATTTCTAATGATATCAGTATATTGTAATGGACTTTTTCTTTTCTTTTAGCTACATATCCTTTTATGCAATTTTTTGTTGGGGCGTTACGTAATCCTATATAGACTAATTAGGGTTTTTTTTTTTTATTCTAGTTTATAAAGACTTTAGATGATTTTGTTAAAATAATTAATAAATATTCTAAATGATTGTTAGAGAGTTTTATGTAATCTTGTTGATTATATTTCTATAGTCTTGAAAAGTCTTTGAAACAATCTCTCTATTTTAATTTATTTTGTTAAGAAAATTGTTGAAAATCATAAACCAATAACCTAATAATTTAATTCATCAACAATAAGAGATTCTTTTGTTTTAATTGAATAATATAAACTTTTAATAACTTTATAAGAGTATGAATCCAATAACCCCATATTTATTAAGATTTTAAAAGACTATTTACAAATCAATAACTAATAACACCAAACTTTAAAAGAGTTGAATAAAATCTTGACTGAATATTAATAGATTATACATTACATTTAAAGTCATTAAAACTCTGTATAAGTTACAAATTCTATATAACTGACATTATTCAGGAAATATGGATATCCATTTATAGCTTGTTCAAAAATTTTGACTTCAAATATTTTAAACCTTATGAGTAAGATAATGTTTGACTTCTAAATAAAATTTATGAATAGTTGATTTGAAATCAAAACTTCTATAAAATTGTAAACTTAATGATATTTATTGGTGAATAACACTATATATATAGAGCAACTATATGTTCTGTTGTTATTACTACTAATTGTCTCAACCAATTTGTTGAAGAAAGAAAAATAAGAAAAAAATATGGAGAAGGCATTTTCACTACTGGTTTTCATCATATTCTTTATCATGCTTGCTTCCGGTAATCTTTGGTTATTATTTTTTTTTTTATAAAATCCAAGAGTTGTTTCTTTTCCCTGTACAATGATTCTTTTGTTGCTTTTTTTCTCAAATTTTGACAAAATTATTTTACAGTAGAAAACAAGGTGAAGGCGAAGACATGCATGGAGCGTCTGGATCATGGTCTTTGCGAGCGATGTACTGAGAGATGTAAGGCCAAGCATGGACCAAAAGGCGAAGGCAGTTGCGACATCAAGGCTCAACTATGCTATTGTTTTTACCCGTGTCCAACTGGTCCGCAATGCTATGGTGGAGCTGGCTTGTGTGGTCCATGTGGTTCTCCTTGTTGCAACCAACAGTGTGCGGATAAGTATAACCAAGGAACTGGATTTTGTGACAACATTGGCCATTCTAATTTGTGCAAATGTGAATATCCTTGCAAATAACTATTTCAATTTTTACCAAAAAAAAACTATTTCAATTTTTCTATACTAAGCAAAACCTATGGACCCATTGTCTTTCTTTTTCATGTATCAATTTAGAATATGTGGCAGAACTAGCACATAATAAATAAATTATTACTACTGGATGTTCACTGTTTTTATATATTGCGATGTTAAAAATTCAAACAAATATAAATGTTATTCGCTATATTCGGTGATTAACGCGAGTGGATCGGATGATTTTTTTTGAAAAAAACCTAAAAAATGAAATGACAAGCTGTGCTCGTATTGAATAGTGATCACCAGCCAAATGAGATATAATAAGTTTTGAACTGTGCATGTCAATGTAATCGGTTATGGTATTACTTGTTTTGAACTTAGCAAAATAAAATATTTTTGATTAAAAATAAAATATTGTTTTTAAATTTCAATTTTTGAACGGCAAAACTAATGAATTAAATACATAATATTTTATCCATACGTAGAATATTGGAAATAAGTTTATGATGTTTTCGACAAACAAAGCATCTAATACTTAGGACTTGAATTTTTAACTACATGAGCTTTATTAGCCGGACAAGGGTAAGTGCAAATACACTGTCCAGCATTACTCCCTTTGTCGCATAAACCACCGGCGGTTGGTCCAAACTCTGACTTGCACGATAAAGAACAGTCTTTTATGTCCCTCTTGCACATCCCGATGAACGTAAGACATCCTGTCACCGTACTCTTTTCAACTGTACCCAACCAAAAACAAATTCATATATAGATAACAACATAAGTAGAGTAATTATAGTCAGAATATTAAGAAAAGCGATCGATCATATAAAACATGATCTTTGGTTTGAATGTTGCGTACCCAACACAAACATAACGAGGAAGATGATAGGTAGAAGAAGTGAAGGTGACTTTGCCATGCTTTTGTATATTTGCTTGATTACTGAGATACTAATATGTACTATTTGGTTATACAACAAGATCAATCAAGAAATGTGAATATATAGTATTATAGTATGGGAAAGTTTCAGAAATAAATCTCATTACCAATATCTTTCAAGTTTATATACTAGTATCCAGTCAAACTAAGTATCTACCGATAAGGTTAAGTTTTTTCTTATATTGATATTATACATTCTAGTTTTTTTTGGTAAATATTTTTTTGTTCATCCTAATTTAATTCATCTAAAGAGTCTAGGTTTATTTATGCTCATTATATCTAATCAAATAATAGCATTCACAAATCTTATTTTGTTTATAAACGTAAAACATCAAAAAAAAATTAATTTTAAAATCATAGTAATATGATGATGTTAATGTACACCAACCATATCATTAAATATTGCTTTTCTTATTGGGCATAACATTATATATATCAACGACTAATAAATATATTATAGCATTACTGAAAGTTACAATAATAATAGTGGAAAATACTTTTAACAATTTTGTCAACCGACTTTAACAAGGGTATTCGCATTGGCACAAACTAAATATACCAAAAGTGTTACAAAAACCATGTCCACCCTTATATTTGTGTGCGCAGTTTATATCACAACATGTTTCGGGACATCTTTGACTACATATGCCACCTCCACCGTTACATATTTCCGGGGATGGTGGTGGTGGTGATGAGAATCCACCACATTGGTAGTAGCACGTGCAAAACGGAATCGGCATCCCAATACTGCGTTCACAGCTGCTTTCGCTCGATTTTCCATGCTTGGTTTTGCATCTCTGGTCGCAGTTTTCACATGTGCCTAATCCATCTATACATTCTTTTGCGCTAACCTGATTCAAAACTGTAACATTGTATATAGCTTTAGATTTAATATATATATATATATATATATATATATATAATCAGATGTGTATTTTTTTATGGTTAAGACATATTAAATCTTGAATGTGTTATTCTTCTAAAAATTTTCACTATCACTATCATATTAATATTTATTTATCCAAAATTTCATGGCTTATTTTATTTCTTTCACGAAATAAATGATCGAATCCCTATACCGAAGTTAAGTGAAAATGTGCAAGAAAAATTTGCTAATTCTGATCATATAAATATATTTCAATTAAAACATGGGAAACTGTAAAAAAAGTGTTTAATGATTTTTTTTTTTAAAACATAACAGTTGAAAGATATGAAGAAGATATAATTATACCTGAGGTAAATATGATAAATAAGTTAACAATGAGGACAAGAGATGTCATCCTCTCCATATTTTCACGTTTCACGTTTCTTTTTTTCTTCTCAACTTATTATATCTTTCTAAAATGCTCTTTTGTATGTTATTGGGACATCGTTAATCTATTTAAATGCATAATGTAAACTTCAGCTGAGTGAGTGTTTTCTTTTTCCAAAAATCGAAATCGAACATTAGTATTTTTTTTGGGTCAAAGGAACATTGATTTTCCATCCATATAAGCTTATAAATTAACTAAATTCCGTAAAAATATTATTTCTGGTCAAAACAGACTTTAATTATGATTTCATATTATTTTCAGGTAAGATTTTGGTTTTGAGTTGTAGCTTATTAAGGCGATGATAGAAACTGTAACACGATCTTATGAAACCAGTCAGTCAAATTTTACAAAATAAAAGTACATAATTAAAAGTATAATACTTTACTAGTTTCACAAAAATGTTTGTTTTATATTTTCAAAGACTAGAGTTGATTAGTTATAATTTATAAATATGATTTAAACATGTATTTCATTTCATACTATATGAAAAAATTAATCGTCAATACTTTAACGTTAAGCATGTCGGTTTAAATACAATTATGAAGAGATGGTATTGGAAATAAGCGAAGTCTGGTCTATGATGAACAAGTTTAACATCTAAGTATAAATATCATTTTCTCATAACTAACTTCTACAGATATCACATTTTTTTATTGCAAAATATTGCTCAAACAATAATACAAAAAAAAAAAAAAAAAAAAAAAACTGTAGTAACTATGATCTTGACATTACTTTGAATTTTGATTTTTACTTGTATATTTTGAAGACTTTGATATTTCAAAGTACTAATTATGAAATCATATATGCGTTTTTGAAGCTGGACAATCGTAAGTACAAATACATGTTCCACCAGCACCATCGTTGTCACAGTAACCATTTGCATTTGGTCCTAGGAATTTCCAGCATAACGCACTACAATCTGGAATTGCATTGCATTTCCCTATAATTTGAATGCATCCCATATTTGGCTCAACTACACATCCAACAAATTTTTTTTTTTTTTAATATATATATATAAGGGTTAGTTAAATATTGAAATGACTTAGAAGAAATGACTATATTGAACAAAAAGAATATGATATAGACCAATGAACATAGCTGAAATGTACATATATCTAAAGCTAACATCACAATGAACTACAATACTTTTGATATATATACATACCTAAGACAGATAAAAGAAGGAAGATGATGGGCAGAACAAGTGACGAAGGGGCCTTGGCCATATTTTTTTTCTCTCTTAAAACTAATAATTAACACGGTATTTTTTATATTAACAAAGTGATTTTGGCTAATCAAACTTGAAAAAATGGGAGACTACTTACTGCAACGAGATTTATAGCATTATAAAGTGATCAAGTTTGAATACATCAATAACCAAAAAAAAAGAATAAAATCATTCTTTTACCAAAAGTTATATGACTGTGATTTATTCCTTCTCCTCAATTGCTAGTTTTTGTTTTATTCTCTTAAAAGTGATTAGAAAAATAATGATTTTAGTTGATAAAATCTGAAAAATTAAGAGACTACTAAAAAGGTTTATGAAATTGTGAGGTGGTTACATTCTATTGGAAATACACATACTAGTTATAAATTACTGAATTATGATATATTGGGTTAGAATCGGACTTTATCGATCCAAATAATGTAAAACAAAAAAAAATGATCATGTATATTTGTGAATTGTTAAAGATATACGCACTCTAATATAATTCGAAAATATAACGAAAGACCATAGCACGTTTAATTTTGACATTAATATTGTGTTCATACATCTGATATTAAAGTACTACATATATATATGTATCTATTACATGTGGGGATTATCAGTTAAACAAGGATGAAGGCAAACACATGTTCCAGCACCACCATCACGGTCACAAAAGCCACGTGCGGTTGGTCCAAATGCTGCCTTGCATGCTGCACTACAGTCTGGAATAACACCACACGAGCCAAGAACTGCCGTGCATGTCTCACCCATATTTTGCTCAACTATATATCCAAAAAAACCGTTTTTGCATTAGATCACAAACCAAATATTACCCCTTAATTAAAAGAAATGAATACATTGTATAAGAAATCTTATGATATATGCACATGTGCATGCCAATGAATAGAGCCGAAACGAAACATATATAATATCTATAGTATATGCATAAACAGTGTTATAACATCAGAATGAACTATAACATTGGGCATATATATGCAATTGAGTGACGCTGAAACGTAAGTAAAGTTTTCTATTATGAATGAACGTTTAAGATAAATGTATACCTAAGACAAACATAACAAGGAAGATGATGGGAAGAAAAAATGAAGAAGTTCGCTTGGTCATTTTGCTTCTCTGAAAGTAATTTTGTTTTAGCAAGTACTGATAATTATTGTTGATAGACTTGGTGAAAATTTGGGAGACTACCGAGGCTATTTATAGAAGTATGGAAAGATCAAGTTTTAATAATATATATATCTATTTGCCATTATATTATGTTTGAACAAAATCATTGGACTGTATATACAATTCCCTTGAATACAATAGTTATGGTATGTTTTTGAAGTCTATCATAATTTTGGGATAAGATTTCCTTTTTATTCTCCACTATTATTCTCTTGTTGCTTTATCCAGTTCTATTGGGGTTTTTACTTTCTCTTTTGGCTCTTCATACTGTTTTTAGTTTAAAACATATAATATCGATAGTTTATGTAGTCTTTTTGGTCAACATTGTAGTCGTTTTTTTTTATAGGATATTATTTAAACGACTTCAATCACATATATATCAATAAGTATAGTGATTATATATACTATTGAAAAAATTAGTTATTATTATTTATTCTCGCACCATTGATCAGTTACAATAGTCTAAAATAACAACAATACCGTTAACTAGTATTAGCAAGGATACACGCATTGGCACAAATTAGCATGACCAATGGTGTTACAAAATCCAGTACCACCATCATACTTTTGTGCGCAGTTGCTATCACAACAATCTTTGTTACAGGTTTTACTACAAAAACCAGCTCCACCATTGCAAGTTTTTTGAGGCTGATACGACAAAGGTGGTGGTGGTGAATGTATCCCACACTTAAAGTGGCATGTACACACCAGCAACCCAACAGAGCCATCACAATTGCCTTGGCTTGATGCCCCATATTTGGTCTTACATCTCTGGTCGCAGTTTTTGCAAGTGCCTAAACCCTCCTTGCATGTATCTGCTTTAGTCGGATTCACAGCTACAACATGTAATGTATATGCATCATTATTAAATAGAACATGCGGCGAACAACCCAAACATTGACAACTTATAGATCATAAAGATTATATATATACCGGAAACAAACATGATAAAGAAGATGAATAAAACTACGAGTAAGGATGTGTTCTCCATTATTTTTGCCCTTCACAAGTTGTTGTGCCTGAGATAATTATAAATTATATGTATCAACACTGATTGTCTATTTATAATGCAAATATGTAAGTAATTTGACTCAGATTTTAATTTAAAATAATTATTTAATGAATACTTCAATTGTTTCCAACATCTAAATTTGTTAATGGTTAGTTATGTTTTTCTTTATGGAATTATGCATTACAATATCTAACAAAAATAATTAATATTATTTTCTGTTTGTAAGTTAAGTCTCTAAATAATTTTCTACCTTGTATATAACAAATTACATAAATATTTTGTAAAATGTCATTTATATATACAAAGGAACATTTTCTACCTTTTAACCAAGAGAATTAAAGATCTTAAAACAAATCAAATAACAACCTTGAGATAGCAATTATAATAAAAGGAAGGAAAGTATACTTAATTAATTAGAGGTGAAATGAGAGGAACTGAGGAGGTGCATGCAAAATGCATGGACGACTCAGACAACGTTGATCATTTTTGTTTAGACGATAGAATAAATAATGCATGTCTGGCTAAGATATCACATGACGTTTATGTCAAGTTGCTCTATATATATTTTTTCATATACTAATATATATTATTCGTAACACATGCATGAGTTTACCCTTGAATCGGTCTGCCGGAAGAAGGTTCCTCCAAACTATAATAACAAAAACATAAAATTGGATCCAAGTTGGTAAATTATGTCTACAAATTATAAATTGAGTCTCCAGTGCGAAAAGTCAGAACAAACAAACAAGTCTAATCTAGATATTGAAAATTTCTATTTGGTGATATGTATATATATGAGACTAGAAATAAAAAATGTTAATCGTATTTGTTAATTTAGATTACAGATCAAATCAAAATACAAACATAAGACGACTTCATCAACGGAGACCAGATTGGCCAACGACTTTTAATGACTTTTTTTTATATTTAACAGAGTAATCAAGGGTGAAATGGACATTTTAGTTATAGTTTAATTAAGATTCAACGGACCATATTTTGTTATACGTATCTATCGATGACCAAATAAATCCAAGGTAAGCCAGGACACTGCATGGGATGATGATGATGACACTGTGTATAAAACGTGCGATGCGAGTAGTAGATGCTGATTTTTACTACTTCTTTTTTTTTAAGCTTAATTTTAATGTAAATACATATATTTATAAGTTTTATTACAGATTTAAATCCACATCATTTACTCTAGATCACGACTAAACTATCTATTACTTAACCTTGGTAATTAGCCAGCCACAATGGTCCAAAAACTATGGGAAAAGACACTCACTCTCATCTGTCCATTAGGAAAATTACACGTCATTTTATATCATTATGGTTTTAATATTGTTTATTTTTTTCCGCCAACGTTTATTTAATTAAAATAATAATCTCTGCCTCAAATAAAAAAAAAAATTGCGTCCCCTGTTTCGAACCCAAATTTGTTGTAGCTTCGTCTTCGTCTTCTTCATCTTCATTTTCTCTGAAGCTCTTTCTCAAGCATTTCATTCATTTTCAAAGCGCCAGCACGCGGGAGAGAGATAACACAGAGATCAGAGAGAATTTTGAAAAACAAAGCAAAAAAAACGAAACGAATCGGTGAGAAGGAAAAAATCTGAAACTGTCAAGAGACGTTTTACATGCGTTCGTAAACAAAAACAAAAAAACATACCATACCTTATACGAAAGGCGATACATATATATATATACGTTTATATTGTGTTACCTATAGCTCTGCAGAGTTTTGGAATTTTCACGGAGATCTTTGATCGGAGATAGTACATCGATTCGGATTTCAGAGATAGACTCTCTTGCGTTGTTGCTTGGATCTCTGCTTCACCGTTGATAATTCCAGGTTTCTTATTCCTTCACATTGTTTCTCGTTTACGCATTTTGATTTCGATTGTTCGTTTTGGTTGTTTGAAAGATGCGATTGGTTTAGTCGTTAAGGAAGAGATCGGAATAATGTGTTTCCCGACACTGAAATTGAACGGGAACTGGAATGCTCTCGATTTGGTTTCGTTTGTTCTACTCTGATCTTCTTCTTCTTCTTCTAGTTCCGAGAAAATCGTTTAAAATTGAAGAAATCGTTGATCTCGTGAAGCATTTCGTTGACTCGAATAATAGCGTGTAGACAGTGTTAACGTTTCTTTCGGATTGTCTGTACTTGTAGCTGGTTTGACTTTTCCTCGGTTGTTGGTGGATTGCTACAACTTGGTTGTTGGACTAATCTTTGGTAGAATTTAATGTTTTTGATTGGATTGGATTGAAATATTCATTCTTTGTTTCTATTCCTGTGTATCTTTTTCCAGGTTCTTGAATCCTCTCATTAGATCAGAAGTGTTCAGCTAGGGAACTTAGGTGTTGCGTGGTTCTGTAGTTTAAGGTTTTGATGAGATGAAGGCAGTTAAAAGGTGGAGTGTAGGGAACTTAGGTGATATGGCGTCTTCTTTGCCTGGAGCTAGACACCGTGCTCCTCCTGCAAGAAGACGAGTTTGGATCATCATGGTTCTATCGTTGATCAGCTTGTTCTTTATTGTCGCTTATATGTACCCTCATCACAGTAAACGTGCTTGTTATATGATTTCTTCAAGAGGATGTAAGGCTTTAGCTGATTGGCTTCCACCTTCTCTGAGGGAATACTCAGATGATGAGATTGCTGCTCGTGTTGTCATTAGCGAGATCTTGAGTTCACCTCCTGTTATTAGAAAGAACTCCAAAATTGCATTCATGTTCTTGACTCCTGGTACATTGCCTTTCGAGAAGCTGTGGGACAGATTTTTCCAGGTAAATTACTTGGTGACGGCAGCTAGTTACTTGAATAGGCCTTGAATATGCAGATAGTTTGTTCTTGAACTTAATTCCTTGGCTGATTTTTTTAGAATTTTGTCCTTCCTCACAGGGCCATGAAGGAAAGTTCTCTGTTTATATCCATGCATCAAAGGAAAGGCCAGTTCACTACAGTCGTTACTTTGTCAACCGCGAAATTCGCAGTGATGAGGTTTGTCTCCTTTTTCTCCTTGGTATCTTTATATTCTTTTAAGATTCATTAACATGAAAAAAAATATATGTAATCTTTTCATCATCTGCAGGTGGTGTGGGGAAGAATATCAATGGTTGATGCAGAGAGACGGTTATTAGCTAATGCTCTTAGAGACCCCTCAAACCAGCAATTTGCTTTACTCTCTGATAGGTGATTTCTTGATTTCTTGCTTCCCTTCTCATTGATCACTCTGAATTAGCCTAACACTTTTGAGTACTGTTTCTGGTTTTGCAGTTGTGTACCACTTCGGAGTTTTGAATACATTTACAATTACTTGATGTACAGCAATGTTAGCTATGTTGACTGGTAAAACTCATGTTTCATTAGATTGACAAATCATTCTTCTTCCCAAATTCTTTAACTCTTATAAATACCTTGGACTTTTCAGCTTTGATGATCCAGGTCAACATGGAGTAGGCAGACATATGAATCACATGTTGCCTGAAATTCCAAAGAAGGATTTTCGAAAGGGTGCACAGGTAAACATTTTTCATTGATAATAGTAATAATGCTCACCTAACAAACGCTTAGGAATATAAGGAATTGGTTCTGTTTCAGTGCTGATAGATCCTTTAGGGACTAGTAACAGACCAACAAATGTCTGTCAACTCAGGCATTCATATTTATGAACCGGAATATAAATTTTGACCCCAAATTACTTCTTGCAGTGGTTCACCATGAAGCGACAACACGCTGTAGCAACTATGGCAGACAGTCTTTACTACTCTAAATTCCGAGATTACTGCGGGGTGAGTATCAGTAAAACCCCTTAAATAGATGTCATATTCCCTCCTATGTACTTCTTCCTTAATAACAAGTTCTACATTTTGTTTTCTTCAGCCAGGCATAGAGAACAACAAGAACTGCATAGCTGATGAACACTACCTGCCAACATTCTTTCATGTAAGAACTCATTTCCAGCTCAAAAAGAAAGAAACAATATTCCTATTTTCTCTTCATTTCTTATATATTTCGGTTGCAGATGCTCGATCCCAGTGGGATTTCTAACTGGACTGTAACACAAGTTGATTGGTCTGAAAGAAAGTGGCATCCCAAAACATATATGCCTGAAGATATCACACACGAGTTACTAAACAACCTCACGGTATATTGAGATATAACCACACACTACCCACTATGCATCAGTTTCTACCATAATCTACTGATGAAATCTGATTTTGATTTTTACATCTGCAGTCTACTGACACTGTTGTACATGTCACAAGTGTTGGGATGGTACGCACTTATAAAACCAGTATTTTCCTATCATATTTTCAGCTCTGATCTTCTTCCAGGATTTGACACAGAGCAACACCTTTCATTTGATTAATACAGGGTGAAGAAATATGGATGCCTTGTATCTGGAACGGAATCAAAAGACCTTGCTACTTGTTTGGAAGGAAATTTCACCCGGATACGCTCGATAAACTCTTGGATCTCTTCTCAAATTACACAAGATCGGTCACTTGGCATTTGTGATTATAAAGGGTATTTTTTTTTCTACACACACTCAGATTCTTTGACCAATGTTCGATTCCCCACCCAGATGAATCTATATCAACTCTGAAGCTATAACACTACAAGTCTAGAAGCTTAAGGAGGTGTGAGATTTTTTTTCTCATAATATGCTTCATTTGGTTGGAAGGAGACGTTGGTTCTATTCTTCTCTACTCTGTTTTTTGGCTATATATCTCACTTGTTACTTTACTGTTGTGAAAAGGGGAACTCTAGACCGATTCTTTTTTATTTTTTTTTGGATCGATTTTGTTTTGTGTTCAGAATGTTAAACAAACAGAGCTACACAGGTTTATAGAGTTTCTTTGCATATATACCATATTTTCTTTGGTTTTGACCTCAGACATCATAAATAAAATATTCAGACAGACCAACATTGATTTTTTTTGTTAACAAAAACAAAACAAAAAAACATTGTCTAATAGCACGGCCAAACTAACTGTCATGTATTTTTATTAATAACAATATAGTAATAATTAGTAGCACAATATAGTAATAATAACTAATAAGATTTATATAATTAATAGCACAATATAGTATATCAGCATTTATTTATTTTTGTTGTTAAAAGATAAGTATCACAATTGAAATAGGACTTAGTATTTTACTTTTTGCTCAATATAAATAAACACGTACCCTTGTGTGTGATCTCTGTCTCAGGAAAAAGAAAGCCCTAGCTGAACGTATCTCCAAGCCATATATCATCAATGTCAACTCGATTGGGAACAATCAGCTTCTTCTTCATCATCATCATCGTCTTCCTGGTCATGCTTTTCGTGGGAGCTTCAGAGGCTCGCAATCTTCAGCCCCGCTTCATTATCGCTGAACAAATCCAAATAATTCATGACAACCAAATTGAGGAATACGATCCACTCAAGGAGGATGCCAAGTTAGCATATTTTGGTGACCTAATCAAAGACAATGCCAAATCAGCATACTATGCTTACTTGCATACCAAGCGTCTAAACATATTCGGCACAGATTGGCTATGGAGGATTGATTTCCTTTTCTTTCTTGCTTTTTTCTCTTTCTTGTTTACCAATCTATGTTTTAGGGCTTTCTTTTGCATCGCAAGCAAATTTTCTGTTAGGTTTACTAAATATGTCTGATACTTGAGATTAATTAAATCTATAAGATTTTGCACGTTATTGTCATGGTTTGAATAAAAACAATATAATTGATCATAGAGGATATTAATTTTATAATCAGTAATCAAAGAGGACACCACAATCAATTCTCTCAAAAGAAACCTTCTTTGCTTCGAGATCATACCCTATGTTATAACTCTGTTGAGCCGTCGCACCAATGCTGTTCAAACTACCAGTGCTCGGCGTCACGGCTAAGCAAAATAGATTTGGTGCAACCTTCATGAACACACTCTTCACATCTAAAGACAACTCTGCTCCATCTGATAAATGAAACGTTACAATCGGGAATCCGGACTCGACCAGATCTCGCTCATAGTCTCCATTGTAGCACTCCACTTTAAACATGCTTCCTTGATGCACATCTGCGGTCCTAAACCTTCCATCAAAAACTTGTTCAATTTTGTTCTTCAATGGCTCATACGCTTCTTTAACTAGGCTTGTTATTGAATTTCCTGTGTCAATTATTGTACCGCCCAAACCGGTCCGGTAATTACGTTGGAATGCCCCTGGTTCGATAGGGAGCATTGTTCCGCCCATGCTGATCGCTTCGATCCTAATGTAATAGAAACCATTGTCAATCTCTAAGGGTGTTGTGTCTCCCAAAATTTTGGCACCATCATCTCCTAGGACTAAGACGTTATGAAGGTAAGAAGGATCGTCTAAGCTTCCAAAGCAGTATGAGAATTTTGTACCGAATCTATGAACCAACGAGAATTCACCATTTCCTAAACCAAGAATGCCGGTTCCTACTAGTGGATCACCGTAGTTATCATGGCCACAACCAAAAACTACGTTAGGTAAAGAAGCTGATGAAGACTCATCGTAGATTGTATTAAACACCAGCGTATCTTTAGCTAGTATGCCTTTGCTCCCTGTACCATCCATATATCTCATCGAGTACTCGCAAGATCTGGTCTTTGAATTGAATCTTAAGCTAGGCATGGAGTATTCAGATGTTCTGCAAGATTCCTTGCGGTAAGTGTAAGATCTAGAGGGATCGAAAATAGGAAGACTCTGAGCATAACAATTGATGCAAGGACGACATTGTAGCCACGTAAGATCACTGCCTGTATCCATGTGGAGAAGTTGCGTGATTGGTGGGCTACCTATTGATATGTTCACCAAGAAAGCTTGCGGGATGAAAGGGACGTGAGGGGAAAGGTGTGCGATGATATCTCCAGTTCCCTTGGCTTTGGATACGGACGCTTCTTCGATATGGGAGACATGTGGTGGTTTGTGGGAATGTATTTGGTTGGAGTGAACGAGATTGAGAACAAGGTTTGGTGATGCTAACAAGCGAACTACAGAGATAGAGTAACAGAGGATGGTAAAATAAATGAGAGGAGATGTAAATAAAATCACCATTTTTGTTCACCTAAAACACTTTACATACGTAATGAATATGTAAGTAACGAAGAGAGTGTTAAGTGTGAAACAAAGTAGTTATAACGAAAGCTATAACGCTTAAAGAAGATGCAATGACATTTTCCTCCAAGAGTTTTAGGTGCAAAAGAAATTAAAGAATCTTTACATCTGTTTAGCTGGGCATGAAGTGTTGATGTGTGACTGTTTGAAGAGACAACTACTGGCAAGAATTGTCTGTTTAGTTTACTAAAACCTATATGATATCCATGATCGTGATAGTATTCTTTTCGTGTGTGTTCAGAATATAAATCTAGACTAAATACGTGAGGTACATGAACTTAATCTATTAACCTAATATATGATCAGATTGGTTGATATGTGTTGAAGTTATGTAAGTAAAAACAATGAAACATGCAAAAGGAAATAAATATATTAAATTTGTGTTCGCACAAAGAGCATTCATGATCGTGTTACTTTTTCGTTCGTGTTCCTCTTTTTGTTGAAAACATATATATTTGAATACCATACAAAACATGTGAGATCCATGATCATCTTATTCCTGTTTTTGTGAAACAAGGAAGTAATAACAAAAGAAGACTCAGTGAGGATGAAAAAAAAAGTTTTCTCTTAAGAGTTTTAGGTGCAAAGGAATCTTTACGTTTTCTTAGTTAATCAGCATGAAGATGAAGTGTTGAGGTTCAAAGAGGAACTGATGGCAAGAATTGTTTGTTTATTATACTAAAACCCATATGTGATACTACATGATCTTGGTACTCATTTTGTTGAAAACATATTTGAATCTAGCTAGACTAAACACGTGTGCTACATGGACTGATGGACCTAATCTTTTTTTTTTTTTTTTTCGCGTAGAATATAATCAGACTGGTATGTGTTGAAGATATGTTTACTACATCAATGATTCATGCCAAAAAAAGGAGTAAACCTCGTACGCATACGAAAAAAAGAAGTTCACACAAATAGTCAATGTCATTTTGATATTTGTCAAATGGCCATCTCTCTAACATTACGTATTCGTGCCGCCCTGCTGATCACTATATTCGCTCTCATGAGACCGGAGCAATGCACCTCGCATCCCCAACTTACGCTAAGGCTATTACACTCAAAATCAATCAAAACCCAAGAATCACCGAAAACAAAAGCCGGTTACCTGCATCCCAAGTCAATTCTCGCTTCTCGCCTAGATACCTTGAGGACCACTAAAACAGAGGATATCGTCTCACATGTTACTCCTATTTCGAATCCAGCAGCATTCCTTGCAAATATTTCTATCGGCGATCCACCAGTCTCGCAACTCTTACTCATAGACACTGGTAGTGACCTAACTTGGATCCAATGTCTTCCATGCAAATGTTACCCTCAGACAATTCCCTTTTTCCACCCTTCAAGATCTTCCACTTACCGTAACACGTCTTGTGAATCCGCACCACACGCCATGCCCCAAATCTTTCGTGACGAAAAGACTGGAAACTGCCGATATCACTTACGCTACCGCGACTCTTCTAACACCAGAGGCGTTTTAGCTGAAGAAACACTCACATTTCAAACATATGACGACGGTTTAATCTCTACACCAAACATTGTTTTTGGCTGCGGGCAAGACAACTCAGGTTTCACTCAATACAGCGGCGTGCTAGGTTTAGGTCCCGGTACATTTTCCATAGTAACCCGCAAATTCGGCTCTAAATTCTCATACTGTTTTGGCAGCGTAGGCGATCCAACTTACCCTCACAACATTTTAACCCTCGGAAATGGCGCCAGAATCGAAGGCGACCCAACGCCTTTACATATCTATGCAGACCGTTACTACCTTGACCTCCAAGCAATCTCTTTAGGAGATAGACTTCTCGATATTGAACCCGGCGTTTTCAAGAGATATGGATCCCAAGGAGGCACGGTCATCGACACAGGCTGCTCACCAACGATTCTAGCAAGGGAAGCTTACGAAACTCTCTCTGAAGAAATCGATTTTTTCCTAGGAGAAGTTCTCAGGCGCGTTAAAGGTTGGGATCAGTACACTAATCCTTGCTACGAAGGGAATCTTAAACTTGATCTCTACGGATTTCCTGTCGTCACGTTCCACTTCGCAGGCGGCGCTGAGCTGGCCTTAGACGTTGAGAGCTTGTTCGTTAGCAGTGAGAGTGGAGATAGATTTTGCTTGGCTATGAATATGAATGCGTTTGATGATATGAGCGTTATTGGTGCCATGGCTCAACAGAGTTATAATGTTGGTTATGATCTTCGAACCATGAACGTTTATTTCCAGAGGACTGATTGTGAACTTCTTGATTCTTAACATTTCAATGTTTTAATAAGAAATTTGTTTTTCTTGATGTAAAAGATATACATAAATGTAATTTAACAGAGCTATATATATGTATATCATTTAATCATATTACTATTATCTCTTAAAGTGGAGTTTAAAAAAAAACAAACAAAAATAAACTAATTATACAAACTGTGTTATCTTTTTTTACTCAAGACACAAAACTACCTTCTTATTATTACTGCATATTACAAAAATAATAACAATAATAATATTACAAAATCTCATATTTCTTCTTCATCTCTTTTGTCCCATGGCAACCACAGGGAGAGTCACTTTATGCCCTCGGCTTCCTTTCAATGTAACCTCACCGAAGCTATAAGCTCCGGTCACAGATCTTACTGTTAGAGTCACTGAGAAGGTTCTAGAAGCGCCTGCTCTTACAGTCATTGCAGGAGGACTTACTTCGATGGCGATTGCTGGCTCCATCCTCGCTGTGATTGTGTATGTTTCTTCCTCTTCTGCAACATTTGTTACTCTTCTCGTCACAGTTTGTGTTCTCGCGAGATGAGAGATGGCTATGGATGGCGTGTTGAAGTTTGAAGGATGAACCATCTTAAAATTGCAGGGAGTGTTTGTGAAGTTTGTTATCTCGTGAGCATCGATACCAGGTGTGGTGCACAAGAACCCGATATAGTCCTCATAACCTTCAAGAAAAATTCAGTCAATCGTTAAGGGTATGGCTATATAAACCGAACCAAATAAAACCAATGAGTGTTCTGACTAGTGATTGCAGAGGAACTAAAGAAAACCAAGGTTTACTATGTCAATTGAGTAAAGAGAATTTACCTGCATCAAAGATGAGACCAGGGTCTAGAGCAGCGCTTGGGTTGACATGTCCACTTCCATAATCAAACGGAGTTGCTTTAACAAGTGTCATTGTCTCTGTTTCAGAATATTGCTGTGCTTTGAGAGGCATTCCCGCTCTATCTATGACTGTTGATGTCGTCATCAAAGCTGATTTGATAGCAGCTGGACTCCATTGAGGATGCTTCTGTTTAACTAGAGCAGCTATACCGGCAATGTGTGGTGCAGCCATACTTGTGCCTGAAATTAGTGCAAATCCTTCGCCTGCCCAATAGTCAAAATCTAAACATTTAGTTTCTTGCAATGGAGTACTTAAAGGATAATTCTGACACGATTTGACGAAAAGCTTACCAACATAGTTAGCCTCGTCAGTTCCATTTTGAGACCAGGCAGACCATATTAAAGAGCCTGGAGCAAGAATATCTGGTTTGAGAAGATCAGCATCTTGAAAGCTGAAATCTTTAGTGTTGGGTCCTCGAGCTGAGAACAGAGCTACTTCAGGTGCGGATTTATGAAGAATGGGTTCCAAACCGTCTCCGATGCTTCCTTCAGCTTTAAAGTCCTTTACCCTTCCCATCCAATCTCTTGAAGTCGAGACATTGTAGTAATCAATCAAATCCTAAAGAAGAAAAAATTGGCATTCCAAGTTGAGGAAAAGATGAGGGAGGGAATAACTGTATAGTGAACAAAACAAAACTGTATTACCATTGACTTAGAGACATCTGTAATCAGAATCCCAGGAATGCAAGAAGGTACAGGGTCGAATTTTGTTCCTGGAGAAACATTTTCGACAACAAGAACGAAACCAGCAGCGCCTAGATGCTTGGCAGTTTCAGCAACTTTCTTGATGGAAGCTGATCCAGCAACAAAGTTGAAAGAATACCCACAAAGCAGAATGTTCCCTTCGACCAATTTTTTGTTCAAGACTTCTGGCTTCTGGCAATCTGACGGATTGAATTTCGTACCAGAAGAACCAAGCAGAACATCATTTGCAGATACCATCTTGTACGAACGATGAGGCCGAGTAGAAGCTGCACAAACACATAATTATTCATAAAAACAAAACAAGACAAAAAAATGGGTAAACTAACGTTATGTTCCTAAATAAGAAATTGATATGTGGATCAGTACAATAGAGAAAGGAGAAACTTACGGGATAATCCAATCCCGGCCAGCATTTTTCCATTTCCAAGGGTCAGATGGTTTTTGTATCTGCGATCATCAATCGCAGCAGCCACAGTAGTTATCCAAGGGCTGTATGAAACCAGAGTTTTCGGAAAGGGACCTCCGTTTCCAGCAGCTTGAGCAACAAAAACACCAGCTTTTACAGCCCCAAGAAGTGTAGCATCAAATGGATTTAAGAATGTTGTCTTTGTGGTAGCTGGAGGACTGTTTGGACCAACCGAGAGACTCAAAATATCTACTCCATCATGAACAGCCTGTTCAGAAAAGCATACATGTTTAAATGATGAAATTTGCAGAAACTTTTTGAACAGCATTAAATATTAGAGATTCATGGAAGTTAGCAGTTTAAGATATTATTTCACTTATGAAGTTCTCAAAACAGAACGAATAAGCAAAGTGTTGAAGAAACTAGAATAAATTCAGCAGGAAAAAAAAATCATTATTTCATATATTTGGTAAGTCTATCCAATTTAGTAGTTTGCTAAGTTTTTGCTCACCTGGTCAATGGCAGCAACCACATCCGCCACAAAGCCTCCAAAAAGCCGGTAGAGAGCTTTGTAAACAGCAATCCTGAAACAAGACAGCATTTAATTTAGAAGAAAATAAACAGAAATCTCTTTAAAGTCACCAATTTCTGGATCGATTATCTATCAACCTTGCACGAGGAGCCATCCCACTTGCTTTTCCAAACTCATAGCCATGCATCCTCACTGGAATACCATTATTCCCAGCTGCAATAGCTGCTGTGTGACTGAAAGGCCAAATTTTTTGTTAGCTAAAAAAGAAGCATACAAATCAAAATATACAGAGGAATAAGCACTTTCGAGATACAGTATGTGAGTGTGAAACTGTGAATAAATCATATTATGTGAATGTAAGGCTTGTTCCTACCTTATCCCAAAACTAATATTATATATTGTTACAAGAGAAAAAAAAACAACAAACCTTCCATGTCCATCGCCATCCATTGGTGAAGCATAGTCGATATCTGGATTAAATGCACCAGCTGCTTTAGCGGCTTCAGCAAAATGCTGCGCTCCTATGATCTTCCCGTTGCAGAAACTCTTCTTAGTATGAGGATCTTCTTCGCATTTCCCTTTGTAACTAGGATGAGGGCCATAAGGTAATGCTGTGTGGTGAGAAGCAAAACTTGGGTGATGTGGAAAAATCCCTGAGTCAATAAAGCCAATAACAATATCTTCTCCTGCTCTGTCATAACCCCCACCAGTTGGCCAAACATCAGTTGGTAAACCCAAAAACTGTGGTGTATGTGTGGTGAGTTTCCTCACTTTCCAATCTCTGCTCACAGATTTCACACCAGGCGCGCGACGAAGCATTTCCGCCTACTAATATAGCGGAATAGTGTAAGGAGCTATAAATCAAACACATTGAAAGGAACTCTGTAGAGACTGTCTCAAATCGGATTTCACCTGATCAGGAGAAACATGAGCTGCAAATCCATTTATAAGGTGCTTATAGCTGTAAAGCTTTTTGTATGATCCTTCCTCAAAGAGCATTCCAAGAAGCATATCATGTTTCCTCTCAAGGTGACGAGCGTATGATGTCACCAATTCACTGCAAAAAAAAGAGAGACACAGATTGTAACTCTAGCAAGCAATAATTAGAAGATGCCAAAGATTTTGGAACATTGTGATACACATCAATCAATGACACGCCTTAACAAGGTACGAAAAAAAATAAAAAGTTCTCCAAATCCTAGTAGCAAAACCCAATAATTAGGGCACTAGATTGTAATAGTTAAACCAAACAAAGCCTTTGGTAACTCAGCTGTTAACAAGGAGATTGTGAAGAAGAGAAAACACAAAGTACCTTGTCGTATCAATTTTCTCATCAGATTCCACAGCAGTCGCTTCAAAGCCATTATCACCACCTTTGTAACTGATGATTGGTTCTCCTTCCATAGTCACAATGTAAATCTCTGCTGTCACAGAGAAGAACAATGTGAAAAAGACGAGAACTTTACACCTGACATCCATCTTGCTTCCCACCGCCTGAATTCGCTATAGACTAAATCTACAGCATCAAAATCCAATGAAAAGTATTAGCATCCCTGAAAAACAACAATAGCTATCAACGGCAACAACCACTTCACATCATTAGCCTTATGATTAAACCACCAAATACATATTCTAAAATAACAATGATCAGTTAATCTCACACTCTTTTTCAGACCTTATGATATAGTTCTGCTCTCTTTCACAGTAATAAAAGACTAAACTTTCTAAATCTGACAACTCAAAATCAAAATCTTCTCTGAGGCTTTAAGCTTAAAGGTTTTCAAAGGCCAATTCCAACTAACGCCAACATTAAAAACTTGGGAGACTTCAATCCACTGTAGATTGGTAAACCAAAGTTCACTAGACAAATTTACCTAAACAAAATCAACTGTTGGAAGAGAGACTACAGTAGCAACTGTTACTGAGCAATCAGTGAGACAGAGAAAGACAGAAAAAAAACAAATCTTGAGAAAGTTTATAAACACACATCAAAATATTTAAAGATAGGAAGAAGAATTAACCCACTTTCAACAAATCATCCAAGCAAGGAATAAACAACAACAAAACCCAGATACAAGACAACAACAACAACAACAAACAAAAAAGCGTCTACATTTCCCAAAGAGAAAAAAAGGATCCTCAAAACTTGAAACTTGAATGGAATAAAGCCAAAAAAAAATAAAAAAGCAAAAACAAAAAGGGTAAAACTTACTTGGATTCACGAAACGAATCAAAGCAGAGAAGTAAAGCAAATATGAGAAAGAGACGGTGACTACATAAATCAAAATGTGCAGATAGATAGCACAACTATCTGAACGGATTGATAAAAAAGAGAGAAACTTTGATTCTCAAGTTTTTTTTTTTTTTCCTTTTTATTTTAGAAGGAAAATAAGAGATCTTGAAAGAAGGGAAGAAACAAAAGATCCGAAGAGGAGAAAAAACAGAGATAAATGAAAGATGGAAGTGTAAGTGACAAGTCTATTAGTGAGAGACTAAAAGAGAGAGAGAGTGTGTGAGTGTGTGTATGTGTGTGGACTTTAGAGATTTATTAGGGTTTTTGTTTCTTTTCTTAATTCGTTAATTTTGTTTTTAATTCTAATTACTGTACCTTTTTAAATGAAATTATTAAGGAGACAATGAACCGTGGATAATGGAGTATTGTAACTTTTTTAGAAAATTTGTTTTTAATAATCTTTAATACTATCCCTACTATAGTAAAAGATAAGTACAAAAGTTTTTTGGGTCGGGTTTTTAAAAAAAATTAACCCGAAATTTTTCAATTGGATCTTACTAAAAATTTAAAGATATTAAATACCAGTTTCCATATATATTATTTCGAAATCTACCAAATTAAACCATCAATATCGGTTTTGGAAAGTACATTAATCTTAATTTGTTTAAGGAAAAATACATTAATGTATGATTTTGTATATTGGTTTAACAAATTAACCTAAAAATCAGAAATATAAATTAAATATAAAATATTTATCAAATTATCCATAATATTTCAAAACAAAATGTTCCTTAAATATCTTATATTAATATTTAGATGTATAGTTTTCT